TGCCTGCTGCAGGGCTAGCTCTGGCTAAGCTACCGCTTGCACCTCCATCCAGTGCAGGTTACACTGCCTGAGCCTCTGGCTTTTTTTTAAAGGGAGAAGGGGGAAAAGGGGAACTAATCTAGCACTTCAAGAAACCATCTAAGTAACCAGGTGGTATAGCTAGCTTCTCCATACCACTTGCAAGTTTTGCCTTAGTCCCCACACGGGTGGCCTCAAGAGGTCAGGAATCAAACTTGTAGATGTTAGGAAACATTCCTCCCCAGAAAGTTGAAAAGTGTTTAAATCAATCATGTAAGTCTGTTTCTTGCACGCCTTTCATGCTTCTGCTGGTGTAAGTGAAGTACTTTTTGGGATTAAACCCCAGCTCTTAATACCCACAAAAATGCACACCTTTTCTTGAATGCTCACTCAGAAACTGCCTTTGCTCATCCTGTCCCTTGCCAGCAGATCCACTATTCCCTTCTGACTCCAAGGAGTAATGTATAGCCTCAACTAAGGGATGAACATCCCAGGTGCACTAAGCATTACTGCTACATAGGGAATTTGTAGGCGAACATCAACAACCTGTGTTTGGTTGGCAAAGTTGGAGTGTAAAGCACTTGTGCAATACTATGCAGCTTTCTAATTGCTGTGAAAGCCTCAATCATGCAGAGTTTTGTGTGATTATTGAAGAAAAATCATGCTTGTAGTTCTCACATGTGGAAAAACACCCAACATGTCACATTCACAGGTAGCAGGTAGTTGTAAATTATTCTTGCTCCTCATTCCAATCAAGTGCAGAAATGTTGCCTGGTAGTTAGAGTTTCTAAACTACCTTGACAATTTCGTTTATTGCCGTATTTACATCTCATTACCTTTTTCTCCAATTGCCTTGCGACCATGGGCCCCTGGGCAGGGATCCTGGGGGTGCACAGAGCAGGTAACAGGGACAATTTGATCAGCAATGGTCAGGGAGTTGGTATAGGGCCGCTGGAAAGTCAAACCCTGTCATCCATGGCGAGGGCTGTGACCAGGTGATGGTGTCTGTCTGTATGTCTCTTGTAGGCGCCAGCACTGGCATTGCCTGGCAAGGTTAGGAGCAGGATTTGGGTAGGGTTGAGTCTGTGCAAGCAGGTCACCCACTGCAGGTACACATGCAGCACCTGGTGTGACTGGGTGGCTTTGAGGGGCAGTGGAGAGAGCATGGGCAGACCCTGCATGGCCAAACCCAGAGCTCATGGAACTCAGCTGTGGGGCAGCCTCAGGATTTTCTCTACTTGTCTCTCTGGCAGATGATGCACTTCAGAGAAGGTGGTGGGCAGCAAGGAAGGTTTGCTACCGACAATGTGGCTGAGGCTCTGCCAGCACCCCTGGCCCTGAAGTCACTGAGGGTAAAAGAGGGCCTGGGATTTGTACAACTTACAACTTCAATCCTCCAGTGATTTGTTTGCTACCTCATGGGATAAAGTTCTGTAAAAAAATAAACCCTCAAATTTATTAAGTATTGTCATAACATGCTGATGCCATCTTTATCTAATAAATAACACCTGAGATAGATACTGTAATTGGATGGCCCCTCAGTGTCATACTAAGCCTCCAAACCATGTGATATTACCTGGTTTACTTGCAGGCAAAAATTCTCAGTCACATCAAAACTGTGTGTGGTGCTAGGTGACTTCTAGACTTACTGAAATATACTCTTAGGCCTGGTAAGAGAAAATTAATGAATTCAAAATTTAATCAATTTAAGGCGATTCCTGTCATAATGTTTTCGTGTTTCCTGAGGATTTAAATTTATGTAAAATTCATGTAAATTCTTTCTGAAGCCCGCTGTGCTGAGATTCAGTGTCCCAAAGGTGTGCCACAACAGCTGGCTCTCAGGTCTGACGTGTCTCTTTCTAGAGATATCCCACACATAATCCCCATTTTTGAATGAACTCAAACTGAAGTTTACACTCTCTAAAGTGAATAAGAAGTGATTGTATTGCTTATAGCAAAACACCAGTTTTTCTGGTTCTGTTTTGTTTGTATTGGATATGCAACAGTAGCTGCCGTATCAGACTTCTCTTCCCTTGTTCTTAAAAGCAAAAAGTAGTTTTAAACAGCGTATCTTGGTGGATTACCCAGACTTAAGGCAGAAATATCCTGCACTGATTAGAGCTCTAGCTAACGCAGGTGTGAATTTACAGACTGAGAATTACTTTTGAAGTTCTGTATACCATGCACTACAAATGCCCTTAGCACACTGTTGTTCATTTGAGTCTTATTGCAGCTGTATGCTGCAATAAGGGTCAAATGAACTCTTAAAAAAAAAAAAAAGAGGGAGGCTTTTCATGGGTTTAATTTACCTTTTAATCCAGTACCACACTTTGATGTGGGTGATGTGAGGTACAGGGTAAATCTTCCTATTTAGAATGCTCTGTAGCTGTGGCAAATAATATCTAATGAATAAAGTCCTTCTAATGAATGGTATTCAGTGAGATCAGACATATGGTGAGGAAAGGCCACTCTCAACTCCTCCCTTCCTTTCCTGCAGAGAAGGGAAAAACCGAATGTGCTACAATGCCTTTCAGGCCAGCAAGTTTTAGAAGAACCAGAAATTAAGGTTTTCAAAGGAAAAGAAGTATTTCAAAGTTTAAAGCACAGTTTAGGCGACTGTCTAGAACTTTAGCTCCCGTTAGTACTGCCCTTTTTTGAGGCAAACTATGGTGCAGTAAGTACTGGCAGTGATGCACAAGCTGGCCAGATTCTTTGAACTAAAGATGACCCAGCAATACCATGGGGCTGGGTCTAACCTGTGGGGCTGAGGCCCCCAGCCACACCACTTAAAGCCTGACTGTGCTATGGGCTGCTCAAGATCGAGTAGTGCTTTTCCCACCTGCAACCAAAACAGGCACAAACCCAGCAGAGCTTTCAAGATGTTGGGGGAGGCAGAGGAAGCAGAGAAAGGCTCTCCCAACCCTTGGACTGACACCTCCTCCTCCTGCACTTCCCAGCCCTCCCTGGGCTAGAACCAGCTCAGCTCACAAGCAGGCTGAGTTAGCACCACTAATACATGCTCAGCCCCAAGTAGGTTTAGAGATTAATTCAGCATTTTGTAAGTAGGGATGGAGGTGGTCATCATCATCCTGGTGGCTAGGGGCACATGCTGAGAGCTGCCTACCAGGTCTGTCGTTGCTTGCTCCTCCTCACAGCTTTTTCTGCTCTGATTGGGGCGCCCAGCCAGCCACCAGGTGAGGCAAAGCCCCAAACAACAGCTCTGGGCATGGCACCCTTGCTTTTGTACTTAACAGAAGACAAGTGGCATGCAGAAGCTCTTGTCCAGACAGCAGAAATCCCAAATAGAGCCCTTTACATTTTGTAAGAATACATAAACATGTCCCTCATTCCCCCTTTGGCTGTGCCATGGCTGGCAAGTGCTACTCCTCCAGGAGCCTTCCCTCGGCTTGGTGCAGCCACCTCAGCATCATTTCCTTCCAGCATGAAGGGAAAAGTATTCTCAAATGCCAGCACTTGGCAATACCTGTGAGGACACATCCAGAAATAGGCTTGCTTGGGCAACCAATATCATGTTTCCCTTTTCTTGTACTTTGGTAATACTGCCCTAGAAAATAGCAAAGTGGAGTTTTATCCAGGGAAAGCTTTTAAAGCTCACACCTCCCCTTCTGCAGCACTTGCACTGAGAGAGATCAGCTCTGGAAGAGGAGGGGACAGGCAGCAGGGACAGGACATTCTTCAGCATCCCTGTTTAAATCACAGCCTGCCTCACACTACACATGAACAGTTGTATATTTCTAATTCTCCTTGTAGCTATATAGGTCACCTCTCCTCACGCTGTTGGGTAATAGTCTTATGGCAGCTTCAGGACCTGTGCATGTGGAAAAGTTTATCTTCTTAAAAAAAACTCAAAATAATGCTTTCAGTGGAGCTTAGCCTCCAGAAACAGGAGAGGGCTCACACTACGTGACTAGACAGCATTACGTGAACCATCTGCAAGTACTGCATGGCCCACAAGCTACAGTTTAAAAATTCTTATGAAGAACTGACCATACAAAAAATACTTACTGGAAAGAAAAACATACCAGAGCCTCCATATTCTATTCACAACCAGATGGCTACAGTGTAGTATGGCAATCAGATTTATAAATCAGCAACAATAACATCAGAAAATACAAATTGCCAATGCTTCTAAAGTGGTTATTCGTGATTTTTGCCTCTGCAAAGATTTAGTATGCCTTTGGGTCATGAGGCACAATAACTCAGTTTATAATTTAAAGAAAAATTGCAATTTAATGTTAGAACTGTCACTTTAATAAAGAAGCTATTAAAGCTAAGTTAACTCTCCTTAAAAGTTTGGATGATGACAAGAATTACTAGGTTTTATTAATGGCACTGCTTTTAAATGACTGTATAACACTGACCAACTAATAACCTTATCACTCAGTGTACTTAATGTACTTGATAATGTGTATTTAGTTGTGGGTGCATAATTCACCTATCAAATACTGAGAATGACTTGATGTTTGTAAATCGTAACAAGACATCTGATTGAAATTTATTACTGAGTAGCTACCCATTGTGTAAGTATACAACCTGAATTTCCTTCAGTCAAGTATTGTCTTGATTTCTGTTTGTGGAGTGAGGAAACAAAAAAACCCTCTAAAGGTGAGAGAACCAAACTGTGAATATTCAAGTCCCTCTTTTGCTAATATAACTTCAACAGCATGATATAGTGCACTATGGCTTTTTTTCTCTTAACTTGCCAACAGCCAACTATGCATTTTGGGTCAGCTGCCTTGCAGTTGGGTCTCTTACTTTGATTCTGCAAAGCTATGAAACTGGGGAGACTGGCTGGGTGTTTTGAACAGCCAGGGAAGATGAATACCCAAATTTATTTTTGAATAAAGTGTGAGTGTTAATTAAACGATACTTTTATGATCTATGCAATGAGATACTTTAAAATTATAACCCACAGAATTCTCTTACTACTCCCATAATCAACCTGCATCTGTTTCACCTTCAGGTATCACCTAGCAGTAAACCATGGGCAATTTCAAAGGGCATGCCCTCCCTGGAAGCTTTTTCCTTCTTTTTGGCTTGTGGTGGTCAGTGAAGTATCCACTGAAGTATTCCTGTCGAAAAAACAAGAATGCTTGCTACCTTGGTTCCAGGGCAGGATTTCAGCGCCTGGAGTTTGTTGAGGGGATTATCAAAGCTGTCTTTGCCCTGATCGGTAAGTAAGGTGGGCTGAGAATGAAAAGGCCACGTCTTTTAACACTATTTTTTTTCCTCTGATAAAACATCTCATTGTGTTTTGGTATGTTGTCTTTTAAACACCAAGAATCTAAGTGGGGCTACTGCAATTAATTACATAGTTATAGCTGTAACAGGGTTTCCATCCATAGCACTCTTCTGGAGCTTCTTTAAGGTCTCCTGACTAGTTCACAGCTGGTCTGTCTGAGTGTTCCTATACTATTCACTACATCAGGGAGGGACAAAAGACGTATAGGCAGGGGGCTCTCACATGCAGACTGGGAGCACCAGACTGTGGGGGCATTGCTTTTGTGTTTTGAATCCAACCATCTCAGATGTCGTTAGTCTCAACTGAGTTATTGACAAAACATGTAAATGCAGATGCTTCTCCACTGATGTCATTCAAAGTGAAAATATTCACAAAGAAAGACTGAACTCCAGATGCTACTGCTGCAGGACTGTTGCAACAGGGGGGTGGTGGTGGATTGTTTCTCCTTCTGATGTGGACTGGCCTGGGTACAAAGCCACGGAGATGGTTTAGTGAGTTGTGCAGCCAACTGGAAGTGCCTAGTTCTTGTTTATGTTCCAGCAGGCTGTATGTCAGCAATTTATCTTTTTAGAGTAAGTAAGCTAAGTAACAGGGGGGCTGGGGAGCTCAGCACATGTAGCTTTCAAGTTGAAAAGGATCTTAACTTTTACTATTTTTTGATTTTTAGATTCTATCTAACTACTCTTCTTTAGACGCTCAGAGTTGCTTGGTTTCTGATCAAGGTGCAGGCTGTGCCAAAATCTTGTTCTTGCTTTTCCTCAAGATCAGCTCCGAAGTGATAATGTGTGTACAGGACTTCGATATGCCTTAAAAAATTATCAAAACCTAAATAATAGCATTCATTTGAGGTGTGAGTGGGGATGTCTTTCCTACAGGTCTCCCAGTCAGTGTCTAGAGGTAGCTGAGCAGCTAAAACATTCATTTAGCATTTTATTTTCACCCTGAAACAAAAAGCTATTATTTTAACATATGGTAATTTCAATTCCCAAACATGGACAAGAAAGCCTGGCAAGGACAAAGAGTAAAAGTAGCAGAAAGAGTAAACCCTGCTGTTTCTGTGTTAGGAAATTTGAAATAAAGGTGGAAAAGTATTGCTTTTGCACTGCAGCTTATCTACTTACACAGCATGATGCTGGCCCACTAACAATGATTTAACTTTAATGTTTTTAACTTTTAATGTATTTAACTTTAATGTTTTAAAGCATAACACATTTTAAACCCTTCCCAAACTTCACCAATTATACAAAGTATCTAAAAGCAGCTTTTCTTTTGCTGGAGTACTGCAGCTAGTTAGTAAGACACTGAGGGGCCAAGGTAAGGGAGGCAATGGAGCAGCAATTCAAATACTAACTTGGTATACATTCTCATGGGACTTTTAACAACTGCATAGATGGAGGGATTTCCTTTTATGGCTTTGTAGGAAAAATCCCCTTTGAATTAAGAGTCTGAACTCTGCCATCCTGCACATTGTAGAGGACTGAAATGCAAAATCTTTCTTTTGGGGACTTTAGCATGTGTTATACTCATGATTGAACCACAGGAAAAGGCAGCTGAAAAATTCAGTTAGAGGACTACTACAATAGCAATTGTTAGGAAAAAAAATCAGCTCAGAATAGCTGTTTGCTGCTGGAAACTGCGAGATGCAGATAGTCCAACCAGGAGAGGAAATGAAACCTCATTTTCACTGGCTTCCTCTTCTCCGAATTATGTGAAGCTTAATATATGCTTGAGCTCACTCTGTGGTCTTTCCCTCAGCAAAGCAGCTTATTTCATATCTCCTCCACCCATTGCCTATTTTCTTGTAAATTCGTGTAAAATCAGTATCTTTGAGGCCTCTGTGCATTTTCACTTGAATCTGGATATATTAAAAACTTTATTGCAAGTGGCTGAACTGGTCAGAAAGGAGGAAAACATAGCAATCACCCAGAAACATAGCAATCCTCAGGCAGCCAGGCTGAACCTCAGATTGACTGGTTTTATGCTGTGTGGGGATATATTGTGTCCTCTATTGTTTGCATAAAGACTTATCATCACCTTAAGCATCAGGACAAAAAGTTATACTTCTCATTTCATGTGCAGGAATGGTGGCTGAGCAGTTTGTTCCTGATGGACCTCATCTGAAGCTGTACAATTATGAGGAAAAGCACTGGGATCACCTCATGAACTGGCAACATGCCACCATGTACCTCTTCTATGGCATTTCAGGGTTGGTTGACATTGTGGCTCACGGGACCAATGCATTGCCAGTGGCCATGGACAGGATGATGCTTTCTTTAGCAGTGTTTATTGAAGGTCAGTTGCGGAAGTGTGTGTGAAACTTACACAGGGGTATTCGTCTTGGGTCTGGGAATCTCAAATCAGCCTTAAAGAATGAGCTTACAGGAGCTGGGTGTTTAACTCCCTGAAATGCTTAAAAAAGATCAGTCTTGGTCCTCCTTAAATGGCACTGCAGCCCAGAGCTGATCACACATCCTAAAGGTGCATCTGTGCTTTCCTACCTGGCTTAGATAGCAAGAGAAATGTTATAAAAATAGCAGCACAAGCCTATTTTGGGTAAGTGCTCAGTAGCTCAGGTATGTGCTTCAATGTATGTACAGACATGGCACACAACTTGTTGGAGTACATTTACTTGTACAGCAATCATGTTGAAATTGCATGGAAGAGACACTCATTTTGTGTTTTCTGTACACACAGCATATCTCATAGCATCCCTCGTTACACTGCAGAAATAGATGTATGAGACTTTTTGTTAATGTGTTTTAAACAAAAGGTTACAGAGCTACAACTTCCCATGCAATTTCCTGGTCTGAGCTCAAGAGTGGAGGTATACACTATGTAAGCATTAGTCTTAAAAATTGCTGCTAGTTCAAGCAGTTGACTAAATTCACTAAGAAGGTGATATTGGCATAAAGAGAAATGCTAAAGGTTCACTGTTTTCTAAAAACAGATGCAGGGAGATTACAAGTGAATCCTTAAACCGAACACTTAATTTATTCCAGGTTTTCTCTTTTGCTACCATCTTCATGGGAGAGCCATGCTGGATGTTCATGTTCATCAGTTACTGCTGTTTGCTATCTTTGGAGCTGCTGTTTGTATATTTCTGGAAGTTTTCTTCCGTGGCAGTATTGTGCTAGAGATGCTTCGTACAAGCCTCTGCATATTACAAGGCAGCTGGTTCTGGCAGGTAGGTCACTTTTCTGCCTTAGGAACTTCTTCCTTCACCAAAATTAGTGGTTTAGCCCTTTGAAGATGTTTCATAGGGGATATAATATGCCTTTTAAGCACAGGCCTAAAAGGACTCATAGAAAACAAGGCACTCTTAATGTTACTTTAAAGAGGTAAAAGTATTTCTCATATCAATTTTACGGAAGAAGCAGAAGCCGTATTACTTCTTGTGCTATCAACAAAAAGCTAAGGAGGTTTTCTTGAGCTCTCCCTTGCTACCATCATTGACCATTCCCTCTGACCCCTATAGCATCCTGTTCCAAATCTGCCAGTCAAATGGCAGTGATTTTAGAGCCCAGCAATCTATGCTGTTCTTTATGAAGTCAATCTCCAGTCAGCTGCCAGAGCAGTGAATGGATGCACAGCAGAGTACTGAATGGGTGACACAATGCACTCATTGACATTGCCCGTCTCAAAAGGTATTTAAGCTCCCAATCCACATTAAGAAACTGGGTGATGCAAAGCCTCCTGTTTTTCCAGGGCTCTGGAAACTGAGCAAAAGAAAAGACAGCTGAAACTGTGGTATTTCCAAGATGCAGCTCCCAAAAGGACTCTTCAAAATGCAGCTTCCATGCCCTCACTTACTTATGATTCTACCGAATTAACAGATGTTTGATAGTGACCCTGTCTCTACTGTCAGAACAAGAGAAAGAATTTAATGAATTGTTGTGATCTCATAACAAAGAAATAAGAGCGCTAGTGCTGATGTGTATTTCATCTTATAGTGGAGAATTGAGGTCACTCTAGTGATTTTTCTTTCCAGCATGTCTAGACTGGCTTCCCTTTTTTATATGCTGGCCAGACATGATGAATAAAAATGTTTGCTGTTCCTTAGGAGAACTGGACACTCAGCACCAGATCAAATATTTAAATACTTGCTCTGGCAAGAAGACAGACCTCCTCAACAGCAGTATTTTTCTATAAGTGAACTCAAGAACCTGGTGCTGTAGCACTTGGTGGTTTATTTTCTTGTTTGCAAACTTTTTGTTGGTGATTTAAGAAGTTTTACATAAGAGCAATTAGATGTAACCATTTATTCTTTGTTGTCTGCCCAGTCTAATTTTAGAACAAGTTATTTCTTTAGCTCTGGATACAATGTGTTTTTCGTTTCAAAGTAAAAAGTTGAAGAACTAAAAAAACAAGCGGTTTAAGTGTGTAAGCGATTTAAGCTTTTTTCACACCCGCGTCAGACTTCAGCTGTACGTGTGATGAAAACCACATACTGGCTGCAGCATGACAGATCTGTAAAAAGTAAACGGACTTCTTTCCGCATCATCAACACCCTCATTCACTGAATTCTCTGCATGAAAGCGCAAAATGCATTCCTCCCATCCTCCTTCCTCTCCTCTTCCCAGCTCTGAAATTCTCAGCTGAACTGCTGAGCCATGACTCTGAAGAGTATTAGGCAGTACAGAGGACCAGTGCTTGTCACGCAGACCCCTGTGTAGCCACAGGATTATTAGTTTCCCAGCTGATGCATTAATATGAATTTGATCTTTCCCTGCTCTGAACATACAAATTAGCTATGTATTTCACATGACCTTATAGCCTTGGGTAACAGAGCAACATTTTTAAGTAATTTCAAAACCTGACCTTTCCCCTGGATGGCCCAGGAGAAATAGACTTATATTCACCTTTATTTATTAATTTATTATTCATCTTCAGAACCATGTAGCACACTCCCAGACACTGTTGGAAAAAAGTGAATCAGTGAAAATGGCCAAGCAGGCTTTCCTGTTGGCGATGTGTTTGCAGTCCAGACCATATCAGGCTGAGCACCAGCCCCTTTCTTTACAGTAGATAACTGTGACTGTTGTGGGACTTGTTGGGCAGAGTCCTTAATTCTCTAGGCAAGAGCAGGGGGTGTCTGGGACTGGCTCTGCATCTTCAAAGGCACTTCTTCACAGAACTGTGTAAAATGATCCATTGCATCTGAGTGTGACTGCAAAATTGTTTTTAATAATAACCACAGAAATAATCAGCACTATAAAAAAATGAAATGTCTGCCTTGTGATAAGTAGCATAAAACATGATATGGCAAAGGATACACATCAAATGACATTTGCTAAGTATCTATTATTTTATTACAGATTGGCTTTGTGCTTTATCCCCCAAATGGGAGCCCAGAGTGGAATCAGATGGATCATACCAATATGATGTTCCTGACCATGTGCTACTGCTGGCATTATGCCTTTGCTTTTCTTATACTTGCAGTGAATTATACAATTGTCAGCTGGTAAGTTATTTGAAACACTAAAACTTTGGAGACTTGTCTATTTAGTCTAGTAGAAGCTTAATTTTAGAAAAGTTTCACTGACAAATCAAAAGCTTTCTACAGAGTAATTAATTGCCTTGAAAGGTAAAATAAAGATAGGTATTGTTAATCAATGAAGACAACATGACTCACTGCTTCAGTGGAAAGGGGAAAAATATTCATGAAGTACAGCTCTGACAGGTTAATGCTTCTCACTTATAAGGAGCTCTTTCTGATAGTGTTCCACATAGGTAAGTGGATATGAAGTTAGAAGTAGGAGAAGCTTTTTTTTCCTACAGCATCTTCTCTCCCTGTGATCATCTCTAATTCCAAGTGACTTAGTCAGCAGGCTTCTTGACTTTGAAGATTATTGGACAGGTTTCACTGCTAGCAATTTTCTGTGATCAGACCTGATTTCTTTTTCATTAGCCAGTTTCATCTCCTCAATTTCTAAAGTTAGCCTTTTTCCTCATCGCCCAGTGCTAATGCTGATAAAATTTTGCCTGCACTGTCCTAAACATGCTTCTCACCTCTTGGTTTACCCTTACTATCCTAATAGCCCTATTTAATCAGGCTTCAGCCACATGTAGTTCTTGCAGTCTTGCAAGAACTGAGGTGCCAGTTCTTTTTGGGTCTTGGTCTGAAAAGAACTGACATTCAAGGCTGGGTAATTGGTTTGTTGCGTAAAAGATGGCAACTATAGAGTAGGTGACAGCAATCCTACATCCCTTCTGATACTGGAAATGGTGGCTGCTGCAGCATCTCTTACAAACAGTATATTCAGGTGGTATCGTTAAAGGTAGCTCATACTGATGTCATGGTACATGTTTGCATTGTACAGTTGTCACTCATGCTAACGTACAGCTATATACAGCCAAGTCCTGTGGTTAAATACTTCCCGGATTCTGCTTGAAATCAGAAGACATCTTTACAATGTTTTCCACAGTGGGCCACTACAAGTCTTCATACATCAGTCATCCTAACTCCCTGGTGAGATGCTAGAGTTAGACAGCTATTAACGATGTAAAAATGGCCAGATAAGCCTTTGAGTTCCAATTGACATCTCTTGGTTTTGTTGTTTTCAGGGCAGTTCGTTCAAAGGTTAAACAGTCCCAGTCCATGGAAATGGGATTACTGAAGACGTCTGAAAGAGATCAGGAATCAGAAGATGAAATTTAGTATGGATATGGCTTGACTAGTTTACCTGCTCTACCATTAGGCTAACTGATACCTCATTTATAGATTCTTTTTGACATCTTATTCATTCTTTACTACAACTTGCTATGCAAATATCATCCATGAGTACTGTCTACATCGGCACAGTTACATCTTTATTTGTGGAGGGTAAGCTTGATATTGATTTGCAGCAGTTGCACTAGTACCTTGCTTACCACGTGCTTCAAAGAAAACCAGACTAATATTAGACAGACTTGGACTGGATAAGGTGGCATGATGAAGTCTGTGTGTTTGCCTCATTAATAGCTAAGCAAAATGCTTTCCAGTGGCTGCTGAATGGACCCAAGTTTCCATAATTAGGGTGTTCAAGTAAGTGCATTCGTTGCCCTGCAAGTAGCTGTGCATAAATGACTGTGCAGACCTGGAAGGAGTAGAACAAGATGAAAAATCAGAGTTTTGCAGCTGTCTTGTATAACACCTCTGTGTATCTGCTTGTGGCTTTATGTTAAAAGACGATCTGTTTTAAAGCAGGGTGCTATCCCCCATGCTCGACGTTTGGGATGTGCTCCAACCTCAACAAAAGGGAAAAAACTGATGTGGCAAAAGTCATCAGAAAATGATGTTGTACATAAGCACACTGCCCCTAAGGGGCAGACTTTCGAATCATCACTCTGGCTCTAAATATGTCTTTCAAAAGACAGCCACAGGCAGCTTGAGGTACGGCAACACCTACACTCTCTTTTACAGAGGACTGAGCATGGGACACATGCTGGTGGCCAGGGGCTGTTTTACACATCCATCAGTGGTAAGGTGGTCATGGTAAGGTGGTCGTTCTAGAAAACAGCCCCTTCCCTTTAAAACACCTTCTAAAGATATTATTATCTTATTATTTTCAGAAACAGGCTAATGCAGGACAACAAATTCTGTTCAAGTAGTGCCAGTTCATCAGGTCTGGTGCTGTGGAAGCGTGTTTCTTCTATTATTTAAATATTTCCAGATGCTCCTAAGGGAATTCAGACCTGGATTCTGTTAGATGATGATCTGATCCCTCCACTTTTGAGTTTCTTTTAAATTTTTCCAGTGTGAAGCAGAAAAATTAGTAGCTAAAACTTACTAACTGCAGGAAGCAGATTGCTTAATTTAGGCAATAATATAGTTTGTAGCTCACAGGGATCCCAGGAATCAGAGGGGGAAAAAAAAGAAAGAAGAAAAGAAAAAGTAAAGACTTTTCCTAAAGCAGTTTAACCTTCAATGCAACATAAGCATTCATTTCATTTTTAAGATCTACCTTTTGTGTCCCCTTTTTCAAGAAGCACCTTCCTTAGCTGCACATGCTAATAATGCTGAACTTTAAACTGCCAGATTTATCAATGCCTTTCCAAAATCAGTGGTGCTGTTTATTTTGAAGGACATCTTCAGAAAGTGCTTTGTTTCTCATAGGCAGGAACAATGCCAGTTTCTTCACTGCTCTTCTTGATAAATATATTTGATACTGTACAAGTACTAAGGTGCTGTATCTCTAAACTAAAGGGATAACCTCAGAAGAAAAGTGTGATAAACTGGCTGAGCTTTCTTAGAACATTTAGAAGACTTCAGATGGTAATTTTTTAGATTATTTTAGATCTTTGCCAAGTATTGTGAAGTGACACTTGTAACCAGGTATCAAATTATCCATACAAACCTACTTTGGAAAGCAAGAGTAGTTGGCTTACAGACATTTCTACATTTACAAATGTAAAATGGGAAACTGCAGTTTGCTAAGCAAAGATGACTTTTCTTAATAATTGTTTTCCCTTCTTCAGCACTTTCTCTGAAGGGTCTTGGAGATTGTGGTGAACTTTTTTGAAGCCTGTCTCAGGACATTCTTGTAAGCGAGGTTTTGATATGACACTTTTGTAGCTCCATGTCTCAGCTTTACAGTGGTCTCACTATAAATTCTGAATTATTTTTTACTCCACTCTACAAATCTAAGACTTGAGTTTCACTGCTGTGGTTGCATTAAAATCAGATTTTCTGTTGGCATAAGCAAGAGGCAACATTCATGGCTTTGCTGAGGAGCTTACCTGTTAATTGCAGCAGGGATACACTGGTGAAATACAGTGTGTCATTACACCCAGCTATAAGTTTACCCTCATTGCGCCACATCATTCATGTTTGTAAATTGTTGGGACTATTTTAAAGGGCAGAATTTTTTCTGGTTAGAATGGCTGGGGTACAAAGCTTCTGCAGTGCTGGGAGTGAAGATGATGGCTATGTATCAAAGAGAACTTGGGAATTATTACAGAAGTCTGTTGTGATAAGCCCAAATCAGTTGGCAAAGTGACACTCATGGGATTCAATGATCTGAGTGACTTATGATCATGGAGGGTGCTCAGCAAACTCTCCTTTTGAAAAAACTGCTTTTTCAGAAACAAGAAGTGCCAGTACTTGAGTGTCATGTCCAGAAGAGTGGCTGTCTGACACGGTTCCCCCTATGACTGCCTCAGCCTGGTAGCTCTGGCTCTGTCCTTACTTACATACAGCAGTGGCTGCAGGTCTGTGCAGTTTTTTTGGAGAAAACATGAGCAAGACTCTCAGCCTGCTGAGAGGTATCATCACCTGTATGTCCCTCTGTCTCCCTACTGTGAATCTCCCATAAATGATCAGACAACTGGGCAAATAAGCCCATCAGACACATCTGCTGGTTTTGGTGCAACCATGCTCAGCAAAGATGCTTTTAAAGAAGCCCAACCTGGAGGCTAGTGCAGTCTGTCATACAGAACTGTAGGGCAGGCTTCTTACAGAAACTCTCTTTTTGCATAGGAGAAAGTGGCATTGCGTTATTAAGCTTGAAGAAATGCAAGGAAAAACAGATTGTGAAGCCTCAAAGACACGATAGTCTCTTGGATTTAATTTGTAATGCTTTTGTGCCTGCTATATTTTTGGTGCCACAAACGAAAGAAACACCCCATTTCAGGGTGGGTTTTTGCTACACAGAACACCTTACCCATTCTTCTCAAGCACTGTTCAAAAGAGATGCTCAGGAACAGTAAGGTAACTCTTAGAAGTTAGAAGGTACAACAATCAGCATTTCACTAGCAACAGATTTTGCTTCAGTTGAATGAGTGGAGGGAAGTCTGACAAGTTTACAAACACCACTCAGAAAAAGGTAGCTGCTCTCAAGAAAATTTAAATTATTGTTAAATATCGGTGCTTTTGAAAAACTATATGGTAGTTTATAATAGACAAGATATGCCTGTAATATTATTTAAATAAAATTGATATATTCATATAAGATGTCTGTCATGTTTCAGGGGGAAAAATATATGCATTTATGCGGTGTGATAGATATTACTCTCATAGCCAACCCAGACATTTGAGCAAGTTGCACTCAAATTCAGGAAAGATCAGTGCTGCATTGTCAAATTCCCTTGATTCTATCATTTAGTCATAATTTACAACCCAGTTGAAGGCAACTCTTCTTGAGGTCTGGGGAGTATGATCCATGAAAGTTAAATGCTATGGAAAAACGAGGTCCCAGATCTGGGTCTAGTCTCCTATGTCATACATGATGGAGCAGCCAGCAACCAAGTAAACAGAACTGCATGAATGGGATCTTTCTGTTTTGCCAAGCTTTATAGTAAGAATATTTAGAATTTTATTTGACTTTCCTCCCTTTTTCCTTTAAAGAAAAAAACAAAACACTTTTTCTGCTGTAAGGTGAAAATGCATTCTGAAAGAAAAAAGCTGAGATACTTGAAGAAATGTTGGCAATTACAGATTTTTTTAGAGTGGGATGCACTTATCTGTGCATAAGAGAACTTCTAAATTTCTCTAGGACCAAGTAAGAGAGAGAAAGCCAGCACTTCCCAATTTCCCATTTCATCTGGTTGTTCACAAATCTGAAAGAGCTGCATAAGAGTTCTGAAAACTATCAGTCAGAAACTTTAAAAATCTAGAAGTAGCTTTAAATAAACCAGCTGGGGAATCAACCAGTTTGCATTAGAAAGTCAAATGTACCAATGTCATTGTACATCCTAGGGTTGGGGCCGGGGTCAGCTGTCTCCAACCACATAGCCAGTGTGACTGTTTACTGTCGTGGTCAGCCTCAAAGAAAAGCTGGTGATAAGATACATGCCCCATCCCATTCAGGTAATCATGGAAAATGCACATTTTAGCATTAGTTTTCTGTAAGACATACCAGCTTCAGTGTGTGGCAGCTTGGCTTGCAATGGGAAGGTGTTTTCACCTGTGTGGATCCATGGCTACATTAGTGTTGGGGTGAGGCATGGAGGGAGGCACTCATGCAGAGTATGGGGAGTCTGGTCTTGGGACAGCATTGCCTGAGCCCAGGAAGCTCTCTCAGTGTTGTCACTGGGCTGCAAAGGAATCAGAAGCCCAAAGGAAAGGAGGCTGAAAACACCCCCATGGCAAATAGGGAATACGTCCCAGGGCAAAAAGAGCATCTCCTAGCTGGCAGCATAAAGGCAAGACTGCTCTTGTAGTTCCTGGGTCCATGACCACAACACTGGCTGAACCAGCCCTAGCATTTTTATCTGTATCAAGAGACCACTTTGGATTTTACCTGCTCATCCTAACTTAAATACCCAGGTTTGTGTCAAGGAGAGGAGTCAGAGCATGGGATCTGGAGTCCCTTCACAGGAAATGAAGTTCAGTGGTGCTCTCCAGCATTGCTCCTTGTGTGCTCCAAGCGCTAATGAGCATCTGCATCCCTGGGACAAAACTAGAGTTCCAAAATGCCTGTAGTGCGAAATGGTTGTGCTGTAGAGGTATACTCCTTTGGCACCACTGATGTGTGCCTTACTCTGAGACACAAACGTGTAAGGTGAGGAATTTGTCTGACAGAAGGGAAGGAACCTGTTTAAGTTTTATCATGATGGTTAAATGTGGTTTTCTCTCATTTACATTACCTGTGTCTCTGTAAAACTTAATAACTGTGATATTTGTTCTATATTCTGTAAATATTTTTTTTTCCTTGTATCTAAACCTAGCTTGAACTAAATAAATTTGCAGCAAGGAATTTCAATCCTAGAGGCACAAGAAAACTTTGGTGTATCTGGCACCTTACATCCTCCTCCCACATGTTTCAATTCCTCTGAACTACAACAGTTGGGGTAGGAATTACTGGTACAGAAGCTGGTGGAAGACAGCAGTAGTTTTGTATCCAAAAAGCCCTTTAGCATGTGCCATAGTGGAAAGAAGTGTGACTCCAAGGACTGAGCAACAACAGCACATCTGTTAAAAGGGAGAAAGACAACTGGAAAACTGCTGGGCACTTGCTTTTAAAATCTATTCTGGGTAAAATATGTGCTTACTAAAAATATGTGGGAGTAAAAAAGCCTAATATTTGTCCAATAAGGCATAATTTGTCCTCAGATGGCTTCTTCAGAATAGTAATTTCTAACACTTTTCTATGTAATTGTTGCAATTCTTAGATTTCCATTGATACACTTCTTAGAATGATAATGCATTTTAAAAGGAGTTTAAAAACATTATTATAAATACTACAGAATACTTTAGAATTTGATTCAGAAGGAGAGCTCTTGCATGTAGACCACTGCCATTCAACGACAAAATATTCTGAAGAGGATGGTATCTTAGAGGTCAATGTCACAGTAAGTGCATGAAACGGTTGTGTCTACATACCAGCCATTGCCTCCCTGAGGAGAAGAAAGAAGAAATGGAAAATAGACTACAGATCTAAACAACTGAATAGCAATTAAGCAATTAGAAAGCATTCCCAGTACTCTAAGACTATAGGAGAGATAGCTGCATTCATGGCGTACAGGATTCCAGTAGGCCTTCAGCATTATTTACCAGGGACAAGGTTCTCAGACACACTCTGGAATTTTTATGGCTCCTGTGTGGCAGGCCAGAAGCAGTAATGCTGATCTCCCGCTCTTGATGGGAATGACAGCAGGAGTGAAAGCCTGCACTGCTTTGCTGGAATTTTACTTGTTTGTGACTCCAATTCAGACAGATGCAACTGAAACATAAAAAAAGTCAAAGATGGTGTTTACTGCTGGCACCACACTTCATTCAGGCTTGAAAACAAACAAAAAAAGAAAGGAAATAAGAAACATCTGGCTCTAATTAAAGCTTAAAAGAAATGGAGGAAAGCAGAAGAAACATATCCAGCCACTCAAGAATGGTTTGTGTCCCTGCAGCTGCATCACATATGCAAATTTGCAAGTAATAAGGTTTTCTTTCAGTTTGATTATTCTATCATATAAACATGGTTTAATATTTTCATAAATAAATGAGTACTATCCTTTAGGATGTATTTATTGATTTGTTTTGGTTTTGCCAAAGGCTTATGCCTTTTTTTTTCCCCTCTAAGATTTATATAAAATATTCATGTGAAGTTAGAAGTTCCCAATCTTTTCAGTTCACAATCCTACTTCTGCTTCCCAGCTGACAAACTGTCTTCCATTTGCAAACTTGGGCTTGCAACCGAAGGTTTTGGACTCACAGTATTTTATATATCTAAACACAACATGCTTCTCAAAGATATCCATGATGATGTTAGCTATGTAAAGGAATGAAAGCACGGATGTTATTTCCATTGAATAGGAAGGGCAACGTCAGTAACCACAAGAATAAATTCTTATTTCTTTCCTACCTTGTCATTTAAAAATCTTTGCAAGTATGCGAATAAATGATCCAGCAGCATTTCTACCAGCAAAGGACCCAGACCTGTGATTCAGAAGCTAGGTATGCTTTTAATATACTGTAAACCTCAGACTTTGTGCCACATTGGATGTAGCTTAACTTAATGTTGCTGAACTGCTCTATGGCTCAGTTTCCCCATCTGCAAGATCTAGTCTGTCTGCACTATGTTTGGTTCTGCTTTGCTTTGTACAAGTCCTGCAGAGGAACAGGCATCTTGTGTGTTTTGAACTCTTGGCCTTTCTAACCTCAGAAAGGCAAACATTTAACTGCTATGGCAAGAGGCTGTAAAGTAATTAACATGTGCAAGGGTACTAAGCATTCTTGGTGAGTAGGACAAGGAGGAGATCTTCCCCTCCAGCTGAGCATTGTGGTTGTTCATGGTTCAACAGCAGCAACATAGCTGGGCCCCACAGCTGACAGGCTGACAGGGCTTGCCTGGTTGACTCCGCAAATGCTTCCTAGCCCACAGAATGGCCTGGCAGTGGGATGCATGCTGGGGCCACCCCTGCAGCTGTGCCACCCAGCCTCCACCCATGGCTGCTTTCACCAAACAAAGGGGGCACCTCTGCTGCCTTGCCCCACAAAGCCCCATTTCGGCCCCTCTGATGAAGAAAGCCTGACAGTACTTGTGCAGCCCCCTCGAGGAGGATTTGCAGTTTGGCACTCTATTGAGTTAAAAGGCTCAAATGTCCCCTCTGAGCCACAGAGATGTCTGTCTCCTTGCACTCGTGCACTCCCTCCCACCCATCGTCTGCATGCCACGGCCCCTGTGTCCTCCTCGTGTCTCAGTGCTGATCCGGAAGGCGATCTTTCCCCTTCTCTGTTTTCCATACTAATAAGAACAACGTGGAGAGAGGAAAGATCTAGGACAAGAGTCAGACTCTTAACCCAACAGCTACCTGGGATGGGCAGGGAGATCCCCAGCTGGCCAGAGCTGTGCCCAGAAGGACAGCAAACAGCCGTGTACTGCCTTCAGCTCTGCCCCAGTACCAGCCCCTGGTGTGGCAGTGCAGCCTGTTTTAACTAAAACCTCTGTGAGCAGGCTGTTAAGCCATTAGGCTGTCTGAAGAAGCATATTAACAATTTTGGAGCTCTCATTTGTAAACCTAATTATTTCAGCATTTCCTTCGTCTTTCCTATGTCCTTAAGTACTTTCTTCCATACAGCGTATCTTGATCACTAAAAATTAGATGTCTGGTATTTTCTGTATCGATTTTTTGAGTATGAGCATTTTTATGAATATTTTGCATATTGTCACCAAGGAGATTAAATGCATACCTTATTTTAGTAATCTTTTTTCTTGATAAGAGTAAAAAAAAATCTTAATAATATGTAAGGTGTTAAAGAAACAGTAGCATCTAGCAGAACCAGTACTATCCAGTGGCTAGACCACTGGGCTTCATCCCAAGAGACCTGAGCCCTTTTTTTGACTGTTTTTTTATAACCTTGGCATATTACATCAGTTTTTTGAGTCCTGTTTCTAAAACTGAGATGAAAGTACTTCAGTAATTTAAAAAAACCAAACAAGCCTCCTTTCCTCACTAATGAAGAACACCATGTAAGAGCAAGGTACTGTTCCTATTCACATGGAATTCATCCACTGATCACTGATGATACAAAATACAGTGTTTATTCCAATTAGTTCTTTAAACAACTCTATTTGCTTCTTCACTTTGACTGTGATATTTATCTCTTAGCTTTTAATTTGTTAGTGGGAGACACAATAACATGCAGAAGAAGATGCTGATTTTGGCAGTTCTGGTGGTGTAACTTTTCTTTCCACTTCACATTTTACTTGTGCCTTTTACCCATTTTCTTTTCCTTCCCCACTTCTTTCTGGATGGATCAGATGTCTTGGGAATCTGATGACAGAAATTTCATTCCTAGTTTTGCCAGTACCTGCTGAGAGACCAGATGTAATGGTGGAGTTGCATAGAGGGGATGCATGTACACTGCCTGTCCAAATTATGTAGTATGGAAATGCCATTTATTCTCCTGGTGCATGCCAAGTACATGATTAAGGCCAATCCTAACACAGTCAGCATTTCCACTTCCTCTCAGCACAAGACAAATGTTGCTGTAGAGGAGAGACACTATTCTCACCCTTCCACAAACTCCTCCCTGGGTCCAGCCTGGCCTCCCTGCTGCAGAGCCCAGTGATTATGGCTGTGCCAGCAAATAAAATGAGGCTACACAACAGGACTAATCCCTCAGGTGCGAGCTACACTGCCTGACGTGGTTTTGGCCCATGCCATCCAGCACCTCACCAGACCATGTGCAGGTCTAATTTGAGGCTTAGAGTCAGTTCCAGAAGGCTATATATATAGTATATATGCTTTGCTAAGAGGAAAGAGACATTCTCTGACGTGGCTCTGAGCCTTACCAATATAAATGTAGCTGTCCGTCTGAGCTGGGACATTGCCCTGTAGCAAGTAGAAGACATGACATTCAATGCCTTGCTAAGAGAAATGTTTTATTGGTTGGAAAATAGTAGAAGTAATGGTGTGCTACTTCGGTTTTTTCCTAAGTAGAACAGAAAGGGTTAATGTTTTAGCAGTAGACAAGTAGTTAATAGTTCACCCATCACAAGGTTATGAATGTATATTACCATTTTATAGCAGAGCAGACAGTCTGCAACGCAACATGTCTTCACTCCACTGGGGCAGAATATTGGTTGGAATTACCTGTTGTGTAGTAACAACAACCCTTTGGGCACTGTGTATTTGGCAGCTTGTCCTCAGGTTTAAAACAGGTAAGAAATATATTTCTACTCCATTTAAGCTCTGTTTGAGTTCTTTGGGTTCTTTTTCCTTTCCTTAAGTATTTAAACATGATTGCTGATACACATTATTACCTCTGTGCTGTACGCTTCTTAGGTGGAATCATTTTTGTTCTTACCCTGATGTTTAAGGAAGTATCCCAAACACTGCATTCTGCTGTAAAACAGAACAGGATGGCAAACACTCTCTAGAGTATTTTACTTGTAACATGTCACACAGAAGACATTAGTCTTCTGATAGAGCTTTGAGAAACGTCTTGATATTTTCTCACTCTTTCAGTAGAAATCTGATTTATTTTTCAAGAGACAAAAATAAACCTCTAGCTAATTTAGTAAGTTATGTTTTAAAGAGGAAATATTTAGCTTTACATAAGTTTATGTTTGCATGTGTATACGCAAATCATGTTATATAGCACCTGTTCATGTTTTCATTACAATTTGCATTACAGAAAAATTTGTTGAAAGAGTATGGGAGGTACGGGTTTGCATGTTCTATACCTGAAAATCATGTACCTGCACCCTTGTAAGACACTTCTGTGTGCAAATTTGTAGCAGAAAACTGGCCAGTGTTTCCTTCCAGGAAAATAATCACTATATTAACATGATACAAAATTATAATACTGACTACAAGAGATTTATCAGATGTTTGGAGGGAACATATCCATATCCAAGAAATGGCTCATAAGTAAACAGCAATTATTTAACATATGTCAGTAGTAACCTACCTTGGCTAGTATAAATGTATACCCAGCGCTTTGTTTGACTTGGTGGAGCTAAACCTGGATGAGATGGGAGTTAACTCCTAGTACTCCCAGAGAAGTACCTCTGCTTATGCCTAGGATTTACACAACTGCAGGTAAATGAGCTTCTGGGTTGGATTTAAACTGCATGTACTTCAGGGATGGAGAATACCTCCATGCCCACCTGATGCATTGCTTGTTGTACATAGTGGTAGTGTTTATTCGTTATTGAAACTTTATCTGCAAGTATTAGCATTAACAGTTCCAACAATATTTGATTAAGAAAACCCCAACGGTTCACGATGACATAGTATTATGCAAAAATATTTTAGTTTTAGTTTAAAAATATATACAATCAAAATCACTGTGATTCTTGAGGTGATTAACATCTGCAAAAATTCAAAGTTAAAGACAAATAAAAAGATGTTTTCTGAATCTTAAAATAAAACCAGAACCCCATTATTTTAAGCCAGTGCCACAATTAATGGAGCCTGATGAGTTTTGTTGTGTGGGGGGTAGATGTGACTGCATTAGTCATCTGAGGAATTTGTGTTTGTGAAAGACATAGATTTCTTTCTGCTTAAAAAAAAAAAAACCAAAGCTTTATAATGGCACACGAGACCTTGAACAGCTGAGGAAGGCTATCAGCAAGCACTAAATAGAGCCACAGTTTCGATCAGCATTAACAGATCCTGCAAGCATCACGTTGTTTTTACGGAAGGGCTCTTCTGGGGAAGGCAAAGGTAAGGCTGAAGCTGTTTGCTGGCATCTGCTTTTTGCTGCAAGGGCTGTGTGGCAGCTGTGTCTGCACCTCCAGGGATAAACACCGGAGCTCTTACCCCACAGCTTTGTGCTTTTCTGTTCTACTGCTGTCAAAGAAGTGTCAGCCCTGATTTCCTTTCCCTTTACTTGCACTCCTTTAGCAGCCTGTGACTAACAGTGCCAGAGCCAGACCCTGACACCCTAGCTGGGCTGTGGAAGTGCCACTACCACTGCTCCCACCCATGGCTGCTGCAGCTGGTCCCCTGTCCTGCCCCTCAGCAGGCAGCCCAAGGCCTGTGCATTTGCAGGGCAGCGCTGCTCCCTCCCTGTTTTCAGAATGCTCTGTGCCAGATTACTCTGCTGTGTCACCTTCTCCCTCGCTGCTTCAGGCATGTGCTCACCAAGCAAGACAGAGGCTTGGAGCTGCGCTGCAGGTTCCGCAGTATTTTGCAGGTTCCCAAGCTCCCAAACCCAAAGCAAGTATCTGAGCCCCTGTGTGACTCCTCTGGCACATGTCCCCTTGCGCCACATGCATGTGCCTGGTGGGTGAGCCAGTGCTGCTGGGTGGTGGGGCAACAGCTGCCCAACCAGGCACCCAGCTCCCCAGATACAGCCATTCTCCACAGCTACTTGGCTTGGGCTGCCCAGGTCTCAATTGCTGGAGGAGTTTTCCTTTCCTTTCTTTAAGATTTCCAGAGGAGAGACAATGTGTTTTCAAAAGCTGATGGCTAGCAGAGACATTACCTAGTGACACATAGATGTTATTCCACTATCATCACAGACATCTGGCTGTAATGTAGCTGAGACAGCCTGCAACACAAGTGCTAAACAGCAACAACGTGAGCAAAAGCCAAGCGATATGTGCCAAGAACAGAATTACCCCCACCACGTGGCATATCCCGTATAGTTTGCAATAATCTTCCAGTTATATGAATCTAGTTAGAAAGTAAGAAGCTAGGCAATCTTTTTAGCTCAGTGAGAATATTAGAAATACACAACAGCACATGTTCCTGGCAGCAGGTTTTTACTTCTGAATTTTCTGGCTTTACTGTATTTATCAGCATCTCAAAACGTAGGCACTAAAATGTCAGCTCAAATGGCAGTCCGCAGCTCCAGTTTTCTGCATTATTTCAAGGCACAGGTGCACAATTTCCACCATGAACCTTATGGGAAGGGATTCCAACTCCATTCCTCACTTTGGGACTGTGCGAGGTTGACTGTGACATGGGGCGTGGGGTTTTATCAGCTTTATTCAATAATGCCTGTCTCAAATCAGGGTATCTCTGTCTGATTCTTGGATGTGTGACTATCCATGTTCTTGTCATTGTTCTGGGTCCCTCAGCACTGGGGTTCTGTGGCCCTGTTTTGCCTTTTTGCTCCTGTGAAATCCTGCAGAAGTAATTTTGGCTTTTCATGGATTCAACAGCTCGTGCTTTTGGCAGCCTGGAGGCCCATACCATCACTCCTACTTGTCCAGCAGCTGCACAAAACTGTTTCCACCTACACTGTTGTGGGAACAAAGATTCATGTTTGAAAGCTTTGACCCCACATTCATGCCACTGGTTTTAGGGTCAAGGAGGGATCAGTGATTGAGCACATGGGGGAGACTGTGGGTCACATATATTTTTAGTTGAAGACTCAAATTAATCATGTTTGTTTCTTTCCTTCAACAAATTAAATAGGTACGTGTTTTTACACCGATATTAATGAATATATCTTGATTGTTTATTTATACAGACACTACAGAATCCGAGGTACCTCTGTGCTTCTGCCTCAATGGTGGCATCTGTCAGGACGGAACCTGCGTGTGCCCAGAGGAGTGGGTGGGATCTCTTTGTGAGATAGGTCAGTACAAGCCAGGCAGCATGGGCAGCTGGTGTAATTTCTGGGAACCCCTCTGCTTTGGGAGGCCTCTGATCTTCCCCTTTTGCTGAGGCATGGTCAGCAGGGTGGATCCACAAGCAGTGACATGGCTCTTCTTGCTAGGTGAGGCCGTATCCTTCACCCACTTCTGTTGTTCTTTCAAACAAGTAATATATTTGGGGACGACATTACAGGTCTGTTCCTAGCCGTTTTGCTCTTTGTTTGAATTCCTGTGTTTGAAAATCACAGTGAGTTGAAGATCTGGCGCAGACCACAGTGGCCAGTATTGATATATCTGTATCTACCATTGTTTAAAGGGACACCAGCCAGCTCAGCACCCTGCAGGACAATGCCTGTCCTCAGTGCCTGCTGCCACTGGCAGTTTTTGGACGAGTCACGTTCTCTACGCCTGGCATAGCACTGGACTAGTTGACTCCCACTTCAGTACTCTCTGCCCCAGCATGGCACTGCTGTAATTGGAGCGGGTGCTTCCAGCAGGTGCTGTAAGGGTGCTGGCTCACCAAGCTGCAGTATCTCCACAGCTAGTAACATCCCCAGCTTGTGTTTTCCAAGCCAACAACCTACACTGTGGCCAGTGTGACACATGGATACACTGTCATTTATGAGCTGTGCCTTTGTAAAATGAAATCACATGTTTGGTCAAAAGGATGTCAAAAGATCATCGGAAAATATTCTTGGTGAAGACTGCTAGATAGATGAAAACTTCGTCTCCCATGTAATTTCCTTAATACAGGATGGGTAGCTCATCCAGCAGACAATGACAGATTGGATGGCTTCATGATGGATTGGAACATTCGGGCAAATTGTTTTGGAGAAATTGGCTTAAACGAAATAATCATGGCTGGAATTTCAGCACTGGAAAACATTATGATGACTCTGTAATTCCCTATCTTCACTCCTTTCGTATTCTGTATTTGATTTGCTGTGAATTGCCTTAAAGAATAGATTTTAATTACTGTAGTTCTTAAAATATATGAGGTAAGAATATTTGGACTGGCATCATTAACTTGAAATAACCACAAACATTATTTCATTCACAAAATCTGAGGAATGTTTATACTGCCCATTTGTTTGTTGTTCTACCTTCTTGGCAACTCTAACTTACTGAAAAGTTTCAACTAAATTCACTAGATGGTTACAAGTCTTAAAGGTTTTGAGATCTTACAAGGTTTGCACATATCACTAGTTGGGTACAGAAGACCAACCCTATAAATACCTCACTGAGAAAAAGGGAAGGAGACTTAAGCTGGCAGTGTGGAGGTGGGGACTGCATGGACAGTCAATCCAGTCTAGCCATTAAGATGCACAGCTCTAAACTACCCATGACATTTGTCTCCTCTCCACCAGCTAAAAAAATAAAGATCTGTATTTTATGTATTGGGAATCAAAAGATGGATGTGGGAGACAGAATTGAGGGAGGGGCTGAGGCATGATGGGGCATAAAGAGTGTGGGAACATAGGGCTAAAGGTGTTGGGGAAGCTGGAAGGAAGTGCAGTTGGGTGTTGGGGGTATAATAGAGGAGGTGATCTAGTTTATTGCCAGCAGGAGAGAGAAGGACATAGAGGGTAGACAAATTTTGTAAAACAATTACTTTTGTTCCAGTGGTGATGGAAAATTTCCACTTTGCTCATATTTCATTGCTTTTGTACATTATTTCGTGGTTATTTCCTTTAAAGATCATGACATAAGGGGCTGGTTTTCTTCATACTTGTGGTTTGTTTGGCTTTTTAGAAAGATCTGGAGCAATTCTGCTGAAGTCAGAATATTTGCAGTAATTTGAGATTTGCCTCAGTGGGGAAAAAAGCACCAAGCAATTTTATTTCAGATGGACTCTCCTTTGTAAGTCTAAACCCAAGAAGTATAGATATGTATACAAACCAACCCAAAGCTCTTTCAGATCGCAGCTTGAATAACTAGAAACATGAAAAATAAAGCTTGAATATGTACTTAAGTATGAATGCATATCAACTTATTCCTGGCTTTCATCTGTCAGAAGGAAGGCAGGATCACCACAAAAGTATTCAAATCCTTGGATCTAGACAGTATTCAATCGAAGCTGCTGAAAGACCTGGCTGATGTCACAGTGGGACTGCTATCTGTCACTTACGGTGATCCAAGGGACACCACAGAGAATTGAAAAAAGGCCAACATTATGCCCACATTTAAGAACAGCAAGAAGGAGGACTGGGGAAACCGTAAGCTAGTCAGGCTTACGTCAGAGCTAAGAGTATTATGGAGCATGTCCTCTTGGAGTCTGTTTTCATGCATATAAAACACAAGAAGATAATCAGAAACATCATGGATTTACAAAGGGAAAATCATGTCTGACCAACCTGTCTGCCTTCTGTATGAAATAACTGGCTATACAGACAACAGAAGAGCAACAGAGGTAACATACCTTGGTTTTAGAGATGCTTTTGACACCATTTCCCTCAGCATTTTTGTTTGGTAGGTGAATACATATGGGTTTGGTGAATGAACTGGGTTCTTTAGCTGGATTGAAAATTAACAGCCAAGCTCAAAGGGTAGTGATCAGTGACTTGATTGGCATATAATAAAAGTAACCTGCTGATCAGTACTAGGGCCAATGTCATTTCATGTCTTCATCAAAGACCTGAAGGATGACACAGCATGCCTTCTCAGCAAATCTTGATTTTAGAGATCCTTTGACACCATTTCCTTCAGCATTTTCATTTGGTAGGTGAATACGTATGGGTTTGGTGAATGAACTGGGTTCCGTAGCTGGATTGAAAATTAACAGCCAAGCTCAAAGGGTAGTGATCTGTGACTTGATTGACGTATAATAAAAGTAACCTGCTGGTCAGTATTAGGGCCAATGTCATTTCATGTCTTCATCAAAGACCTGAAGGATGACACAACATGTCTTCTCAGCAAATCTGTAGACAATACTAAACTTGAGGTGGAGCAGAAGTATTGTTGACACGGTATAGCACAGTTTCAATGCAGAACCATGAAAGACCTGAGGATAATGCCAACAGACCTCCCAGTGTCTGAGAAGGACTAGTGCTGATCTCCGTGCCAGGGACATTGGTACAGATCAGGAACTTGCTGGCTGAGGAGCAGCCCTGCTGGAAATTACCTGGGAGAGATGGTGAATGCCAAGTTCAGTATGGGCCAACAGTGTGTGTTCATCACAAACAAAGCAGAGCAATTGTGCTTTGTGGAAAGAGAAAGGTTGACAGACACTATTACTCTCACCTTCCTGGCACTGGTGAGATACCACCAGGAAATAATAGGCCTGCACCCCAGGCTAAAAAGACTTGGAGAAGCTGGAGATGGTCCAGCAGAATGCCCTGCTAATCACCTCCTGGCAAGCAAAGTTCAGGTTTGGTGCTATGAAGCAGACCTAATCTTTGCAGTCATGCACCCTTATTTGTTCATAACCATTTCTATAGAAGGAAAGTATCATTGTGTCATGGGAAACTGAGACACTATAGAAAAAAAGACCCACAGAAAGTTAGTGACTTGGCAAGAAAGCCTGTGCCAGAATATGGAGAACACTGCAGGCCTCCTGAGCCCCCCTCAGGACCTTAACCATAGGTATGCTTCTCTGACTCAGCCCTGCTAATAGAACAGAGTCAGCTGAAATGTGGTCCAAATTAACAAAAGTTAGCAAAAACAGGATGTTGCAAGTCATAAGACCAAGCAAAAAATTTCTGCCTGTGTGCTGCAGTATTTTTTTCAAGTGTTTGCAGCAATGCAAGGTAAATTTGTATTACATTATAGCGGTGTGGTATGTTATGACATGAGCAAGCAGTAAGCTGCTGTACTGTGTTAGGCCACAGGTCCACTGAGCTCATCATCCTGCCTTTAGACATAGATAGTACTAAGTGCTTAGACAAGGTGTGGGGTTTGGGGTGGCCACCCTGTACCATTGTGGCAGGCAGCGGGGCAGTGACTTCCTGCGCCAGAAGCTGCATTGGACCCATCATGGTTCAGGGTCACCAAAGGACTGTCCCCCATTAACTGTCCAAACCCCATTTTGGAGCAAATGTGTGGTTTTATCCCCTGCTACATCCTGTGGCTTTAGGCTACCAAATCTGATTTCTGCTTGGATAACAAGACCCTGGGCAAGAAGCTTTATAACCTTTTACAAATTTTCTAGGACCAAAGCAGTGAAAGTAGAAGAGCTGGAAAAAAATATGAGTGTCAGGTTTTCAGTGACTTCATAAGTATCACTTGTAGCAGCTCAGCAGCTGGTTTGCTTGCATTTAGACAAGTTTTACCCAACTGCTTTTTTTTCCTTTAGGGCAAAAGATTCAGTGAGCTTCTATTGTCTCAATACTATTTAACTTTTGAAAATTGGTCCTTGTATACTAAAAATATTTGATCTGCATATATGTTTTCTTTTCCTTCCGTGCAGTTAATTTCTGTGAAGCCAGTACTTACACAGTGAACGTTTCTGAAAGCATTACAAAAAACCTTACTTTTGGACGGATTATAGTGAGTAAATATGGCAACTCCGAAGAAAAATGCAAACCTGATACTGTGAATGGTATGTGCTTCTTTCCTTTAACTTCTACTTCCCATAAGTAAATACAAGGTTTGTGAAAGATGTTGGATTATTAGACCAGATGAAAGGTCAATGTTTGAAGCCAGAACAGCATAGCTCAGGCAGCAGGCGCACAAACCTTTCCAGACAGCTTTCTACCTCAAATGCAGAGAATTTAAGGCACACACTCTGAGTCATACCCATGTCTGTCTGAGACTGGGCTGAGGGTCAGTTAATATCTGCTCCTGAACAGCCTTTTGATAGAAAAATAATCTATTTATATCTTACTATTTAGCATTAGGATTCAGGATGCTTTCCATCAGCTGTGGTTCCATGACCTGTCTCAGCTTTCAGAGACCTTGTAGAGGAGTAAGCGTCGCACAGCTGCTCCACACGCCCTTTGCATTTCTTTCACAACATATAAGATATGTTTTTCAGGACATGATGAAAAGTCTTCCTGATAGCTCAGTGCTGGTGCCTGTGCCTCCCATTTAAGAGATGTGTTTCTGCAGCTCTAGTGCAACTATATCTATTTGAATTTGGCATGAATAATGTCAGCCACTTTGACAAGATTGTGTATATAAGAATAAAAAACATACTCTAAAGAGAGTAACAACTAATTAAATAATTCATGGTCACTTTTAACTCTGAAAGACAAATATTTTACATGCAAGCAGAAAATAGCACTGGATACGGTGTCACACCCACGATATAGTTTTAATTCCCAATGAGGTCATGTGCATGTGAGTGAGTGCTTCTCTAGTAATGCCTGTATTTCTGATTTTACAAAATTACAGGTAACACTTCAATATCAATCAGGATGTGCTCCAGAGAAGGCAGAACTCCTACTTTAGAGCCCCCCAAAATTCTGAACTGTGATGAAAATCTGGACTCCTTAGCATCACAGGTAATCTTAAATTACTATTTAAACTGTGTCTGAGATTCTGCATCGTCCCAAGGGGGGGGGGAAGAAGTGATAGGAAATTGAGGCAGGAAACATATATGTGTTACATTTCTTAAAACTTTGCAGAAAGCAAAATGAAGGACTAAATCCTTTTTCAGTGCCATTCGTGCCATGTGCCTGCTTTGCAAATGGCCTGAATTTCCAGGGGGGTGATTATTTTATTCTGGTTTTGCCTGAATGTAGCATCCCATTTCATATTCCTCAACTGGCCTGTAATTTCCTCACTCAGGTTCCCAGTTCACAGCAAACACCTCTGAATGGAGGAAGAATCCAGCTACATTCACTTTAAATAAGAAAAGTCCCTTTCATAATGCATTTTTGCTTGACTATTTTATCTTCAACCCAGTGTTTCACCTGTCTGGATCCTTTGAGCTCAATATTGTATTTTCTCAGTACACAGCCTTCACTAAATGCTTCAAAGGCTAAATCTTCTCTAGATTAATATATATTACTAGTAGTACCTATTTCTAATGCTAACAAGATGCAACATCAGGATGCAACATAGGTTTATTAAATTTATCCTGCTGCCGTTAGCAATTTGAGGTTTTGTTACGAGTTGTGATGTGGCGCTGCCACCTAGTGAGCCTAGGAATGCTAGGGAATGGGAGGAGAAGGAGGTGTTCATGCTAGTGAACTAGAGCTCAGGTTTAAAAGGATTTTATTCCTTTTAAATATCAATATCTGCTTTAAATCCAAGGTAAAAGTCACAAGTAAGAATAGTGAAAATAGGTGTTACTGTTTGTTCATGGTGCATATGCACATGTTTTCAAATCAAATAATATAATCTCCAGGCATAATAAATGTAAATTTTCTCCCTCCCTATGCAACCCATTCACCTTTCTTTCCTATCATTCCAAGGTTTATGAACACTTCAAAGCTGCATGATTGAATTAATCTCGATTTTGATAGCTTCCCAACATAAATAATTCGAGAACAATTCAGTTACTGAAGCTGTTCATTTAAGCTATTCATTGACTGGATTAGAAAAGGGATGACTTGATACACTGTTTAGTTGGTCTTCACAGCCTACAAAGGCAATTCTTCTGATGACAAGCAGGTTTTCCATCTCCTTAAGCCTTACTCTTACCTAGCTATACCTTCATATAACATACAGCTAATGCCTCATCTTTTTTTGTTTAGACTCTTAAGATACTCTAGACATTTACACTCTACCTATTAAGTGCTAACTGACTCAAACTGGACCCATCCAGTGTTTCTAGACATTCTTATTAGTATCTCCAGCATCAGAATATTTTTTTTCCCACATTTATTCCAAGCTGACACTACATACAACATACTGAAGTGAGGATAAGGTTCTCGGTGCAGGTTACGAGCACTGTGATGAGAAGCACAACTATTCCAGATGACATTTCTCAAGTTCCTCTGATGGCTCTGCAAAAAATCCATTCTGGTTATTTAAGGAATAGTGAAAGGTGTACAGAAGTTTCTAGACTCAGATGCTCAATGAACTCATGACAAAAGAGGTCCTGCTGATATGTACAGCTACTTCACTGCAAGGTGTGGAGAAGGATGAGGCCAGGCTCTTCTTCAAGGTGCATAGTTCTAGGATGAGCAGCAATGGAGATAAGTGGCAACATGGGAAATTCCATTTATGTAAGAGAAAATTCTTCCACTTGATGCTGGTCAAATACAAGCAAGTTTCTGAGGGAGGTTGTGAATATTCAAAATGAGCCTCTGAGCGGCCTGGTCTCAGTTGGCCTTGCTGGGTTAGGAGACCTCCATAGCGCCCTTCCAACCCAAGCTACTCTGGAAGTCTGTGAAATCATTCCCCAGGGAGAAACTGCAAATGCTGCATACTTGACACAAACAGAAACGATTTAGACCACCAATTTCTTGCATATTTTGACCTTATGTGAGGATGTTATAAAAGTGGTGACTCTTTTTCCTGTTCTCATTTTCTTTCTGTTGAATGGCATTCTCATAACAGGTTGAGGCTATGAACTCCAGCAATATTGCAGCTATTGCAAGTAACACTGAAATCCTCACCTCCATGCCAGACCAGCTGTCCACACAGAACATCTATGCTGCTGCAAGGATCACAGTGCAGATTCTGAAAACACCCAATGTGTCAACAGATGCTCAGGTGAGACTTACTAAGACTAAAATAAGACTTCTGTGGATTCATATCTGGGATATCAATTCTTTCCCCTCTACCAGCAGAAGGTACATAACACCACAACCAAATGCATTCATTTTGCCATTTAGGAGGTATTTAAGCAGCCTGAAGTGCATACTTTTGGAATCGCTGCTGGGTCAGTTCTCAGAGCTGAGTGTAAATTTTGTTTCTTAACAGATGTTTAGACTGTTAGATATATGTTAAACTTGCATATATCTGAAATTTTAATATCAACATTATTGGATGTTTATCATGTAATCTTTACTGTCTAAATTAATACAAGTAGGTGCAAAGTTTGTGTTCTCTTGAATGACATCCTGTGCTTTATTTACTCTGTAGTGTGTACTTTCAAGCAATGCTTATAAAGTGTTCTTTGTCCATCCACTATGTGGATCACATGCGGATCCAATAAATCACATGGGGTGATTTATTTCAATTGCATTTGAATACTGCCTTTTTTTCTTCTTGTCTCAGGTATCTACGGCAGCAGTGGCTACAGTAAGTCAGCTCTTGGATGCCAGTGAAAGAGAATTCAACCATAGTAATCTTGTCAATGTTACAACAAGGTAACTTTAGCTTTTGCCATTTTTTTAGATGTAGTAAACTGCATTTTGCCTTCTGTTTCAGGATGAAAGTAGTTCATGGACAAGTCAAAACACTTTTAGTGTTCAACTCCGATGTGAAATTTCATTGGTTCAGTAGATTTATACTGGCATAAACAATTTTGGATTGATTTTTCTGCTTTGGAGAAAGGGTAAGAACAGGGAATAAGGAAAAGTTCCTGCTGGATAACCAAATCAGAGAGGAAGCTGGGAAACTGGACCTGTAGCCATATCTTAACAAATAATGGTAACTTCTATGCCACTCATTATTTCAATGCAGCCTCACAAAAACAATGGAGGAATTTTCTTTGACTGGCAACATCTCGCAGACCAATGTTGCAGTCCAGTCTGCTCCACTGAAATTAAGCTCCTCTACAATTCTGTTTTCAGCACAGAGGGGTAAGTCTGTGTGTGTTGTTTGATTAACCTGGACAAGGCAGTATGTACCATAAATTCTAATGCACCCACTGCTAATTTTTGCAGATACAACACTGGGATATTATCAGCCAACAAAACTAGAAATACAGGAAAATGTCCCTGGGCTTATTGCTGACACCAGTACTGAAATTCAGATACTGTTCAACATTACAAATCACAGTAAGTTCTTTCTCCTACTGAAAAGTGTGCCTGGGAAAATTTTGAATGAATATTCACTAAAAAACTCCTTTGGGAAAAAAAAACCCAAACCCAAACCCTTAGGCAATATAAACATTTAATTGTTTTTTTATGCATGTTGATGCTGTATGGCACAAGAAATGCACATGTTGAATGAGATGTTTTATCTTATTTATAGATTAATGCACAAGTATATGTAATGGCTAGAATGCTTTTGGAGTTTGGGAGTTTTTGTTTTGTTTTCTATAATAGAGGATGTAATGAAGCTTCGACCATGCCTCTGTAGACATCAAGAGCTAGTACATATTACTTTGCCTGAAATCCAAACACATCAACCATTTTAACTAAAATTACCGCTACTGGCAGGTGTCAGCCAGGACATGCACATCTTCACACCTACATATTGGGATAGTCTTTAATGGCACAGTCACACGGGATTTTTCCAGATATCCATTACTTACACTCTGCAGTGCTTAGAGGACAAACTGGTATTGCTCTGAAGAAACAAAACAAAACAAAACAAAACAAAACAATCAAAAAAACCCCCAAACCCAAACCAAACCAAAACACAACCAAAAATACTCCCCAAAACCAGCAGCTTACAGTTCCTCTGCTTCGTTTGCTGCAGAAACTGGTGAGTGTTGGGGAGCTGAGCTTTGGACATGTGTATTCCTATGTCATACTAAAAATCACAAGTTTCAGGCTGGGCACCTGAAACCAGCAGACTTGTCCTCAGTCTCTCTGAGGACATCACAGCACAAAAGTATAATGAAGGTGAAGTTCGTGGAGCACTTAGACATCAGAATTCTGAACATCATTCAAGCCCACAGGGAAATTAATAATTCAGTCCACTCACCAGGGCTAGAAAATAATCAGAGGAATAAATCAGGTAGCCCCACACACCCATCAGTGAGAATAAAAAAAACCTAAACAAACACAGAATAGCTTATTAACTGGTCACTGCCATTTCTTCTAACTGTTTCAGACAATGATCCTGCGGAAAAACAGTATGATTGTGTAATTAAAGCCTTGATCATAACACTTTCCTCAAGAGAGCTAGATTAAACACACGGTATGTCTTAATAAAAAATATATTTCTTCAATATTAACTGCACAATCATGACATTTCATGTCATGTCTTTTCATTAGTCCCTCTTGATAATCAAATCAGAGGGAGATCAAATCAGTCTCTCTTGGTCTTAAATAAAAAGCATAAAATCAAGAACAAATACATATATATAAACATATATATATAAAATATATATTTATATAAACCAGGATTTTTGCTTCCTCACTTGAATAACAATTAAGACTAGTAATTTAAATCACTTAGATGAAATCTCTCTGGTTTGGTAGAAAAGTGCAAAAGAAACGGAATTCAAAACTTGGATCTGAAGACAAAAGTCCAGCCAACCTCTCATACTAACTTCCTACTAACTGTAAATGTCCTCGGTGTTACTGTTTGTTTTTTAGTGTTATTATAAGCCTGGTCATTTGGAGTGCGTGCATGTATTGGGATTTAGGATTATTTTCCTCACTACCAGTATTTTTCCCCAGAAATGACAGTAAGAGAAAGATAATAATTATTTTCGTGCTCCACCTCAGCAAAAATTGAAGATGACCCTCTTGAGATTCATGGGAAGAGAAGCTCTTCTCTATTTTTTAGATGGATTCTAAACAAACATCTAAACAAAAATCTGCTGTAAATACTGGATGTGTGAAATAGCATAGTGTAGGCTTCTTCAAAGGCGCCAGCTTCTCTGATATATGCTATTCATACCTACTTTTCTGTTGCCTTGCGAAGGTTCATCAGGCAATGGGAGAGTTGGCTTTGTCCTGTATCAAAATGACAAACTCTTCCAGTCAAGGATTTATCAGACTCAACGTAGTTTCTCTAGACAAATTGTCTCTGGCAACATCGATGGTGGAAGAACCAGCAGTGTTGAAATAGCCTTCAGTCCCAAGGTAAGCCCCAGTAAGAAATGAGATGTTAAGTTTGAACCATTGGCTGCCTTTGCTCTACTACCTGTCTTCAGGACTTGGATAAAGAGACTCAAGCAGAGGGGTTTTTTTTTTTGCATACTGCCTTGATTTCTGTCTATAAGCAGTTGAGAGAGTTTGTGGGATGCATAGGTGACGTAGGTGAAGGGTATTTAGATAACATGGCATAGAAAACGTTTTTCAATTTTTGTGTTTAACACCTGATGTTACTGACTCAGTACTGCTAAATTAGGATGTTTGCAAGCAAAACTGTATTCCATAAAATGTTATAGGTATACCAGAGTGGATTTGTCCTTGGGTAAATTAGTCCTAAAGCAAGAAATAAAAAAGCCAGGATGCTAGAGGACAATTTTTCTTTCCAGAAAAATATCACAACTATTGAAAAAAAAAAGAAAAAGTCAACATGACTGGCACAGCCCAACACACCTCCCAGTGTGGGAAGTGTTCATTTTTCATACCATCTTCTAACTCCTGCTTTCAGTTAAAATCATTGTGCATTTTGTTTTGACTCCCTTACCTAGGAACTGATTCCAGATGTCAGTGCTTTCTTGCAGGAAATGCTCTATGTGAGTGCCCATTTGCTCAAATAGCTGAATTTTTAGATAATATATACTCCTGTTTAGAATGATTTCTCCAGAAAATGGTAGTTGGCTTCTTCTTACAGTATTTAAGAAAGGTTTTAAGCTCAAGTACATGCACATGATAGATCACTAATCATCATTATGAACCCATACACTTAAGTGATCTCAAAACACATACAATTTTTTAGGAAATCACTGAAACAAACTTATAATTGATTTTTTACTCCTGCTTTTATTCCTCATTTTTAATTGAATTACCTAGTACTGTCAATAATTGTTTTCATCACTTATTTGCGTTTCAGGCTGCTCACTGCTTATTAAAAAGCAGTTTTAATTCCAGTACTCTGCAGAGACGTTGTCCAAAAATGACTGCATGCAGTTTGACATGACTGCATGAGCACCGCAATGCTGTAGGATGGGAGGGGATGGTTCATGGCATTCATCATTGTTTGCTTCCTATCAGTGTGGATTCAGTTCCAGTTGGCAGTAATTTAATGCTACTAATATCTGAAAGCTGTTGTTCGGCTTACGCAGAATTCGTATGGCAGTTGTTTAATGCCTCGTCTATGTGCATCTGAACCATACTTACCTGAATAATTTATAGAAATGCCTAATTTCTTGGCAATATTGACTGAGAAAGTCACATAAAGTAACTTCAAAATGCCAAATTATGCTATTAGTATCGTTCATAAGGTTTACTGGAAACCCTGTAAATCCATTAGTAGCTGTCAGCTCCCTTTTCAGACAACAACTGTCAGTACACACTGTTTGCTGATGCATTATCTGTTTACATTTCTGTAGCCACTTTTTCTCCTTGCAATCCCAATCCATAGTACAACATATCCGAACTGTATCTGCGGGATCACGCCTGTGTCTTTTGGGACTACACTGTCAATGACTGGAGCACTGCTGGCTGTGCAAAAGGAAGAGACCAGTTCCTGAGATGCAGGTGTAATCACACTACTAACTTTGCTGTCCTGATGGTAGGGTGTTATCCTTTCTCAAACGGGGAGAGTTTTGGGGTTTTCTCTTTCATTTGTTTGGTTGTTTCCAACTGTAAGACCAGCATGCCAATGTAAGGGTATATGTGTGCTGAGCTAGAAGTCCCAGGAATAAGATGACCCTGTGCACTTGTTTCTGACCTGTGGCACAGCTGGCACTGAGACATGTGAGTTGTCCCCAGGCTGCTGGAAAGCCAAATGTATAAGGCAAGTCCTGGCTTCCTCTAACACACGTTGTGGCTGTGCCCACCTGCCAGGCACCCCAGCAGTAGGGAAGGGCTGGCACAACTCATTGCCCTTGCTCAGCTCTGGTAGCCTCCAGCTCTGCACCTCCAGTGCTGCAGTTGATCATTGAGCGAGTGTACAACTAAAGCCAAAAGTGCCCCGAGACCAACAGTAGAATAGCTTAGATCTGGGCTAGCTGTGACACTGCCTTGTGCTGGGTAAATAACTCGAAGTACTTAGCATTAACTACTTCTTTTGCTTATATGTTTACAAAAAGCAATCGATCTGTTACCAGTAAGTTTTAAAAAGTGCCCTCTTGTACTACCAAGGCTATTTCAGAATGACTGTCTCTGACATTTGTTATTCTTTCAATATTTGTTTCAGCTTCTCTAAACAAAACACACCATGGGTAAAATCACATGTTCGTGGTCACTGACTTCAGCAGTGTCAGGATTTCAAAGTTTCTTTTTTGCTCTGTCTCCACAGAACAGCATTTCCATATTTGTAATATTAACTTGTTTCTGCATTTCCCTTTATCTTACTCACGTCCTTACAGCACAAAATGACTATATTATAGAAAAGATTGCCATCCACTTATGCAAAGATAACAGTATTTGCTGTTTCACTGAATACATTTATATTTGCCTGCTGCTTTATTGTCACTATACAAACAAAGACTGATTTTGATTTGTAATTCTTTGTAACATCTTACCTTGGGCCTTATCCTCAGAAGCCAAAATTCAGAATGCACATCAGTACAAAAAGTTGAAGCTGCTTTTTTCAGTCTGTGTCGCCTTGCATTTTTCTCTGAATATTTTAATCTGCTATTTTGCTAAATATTTGATTGACATTGTGGAGTCTCTTCGTGGAGTTCTGCAGAAGCTTCTCTAGCTTTGAGGTCCACAATAATTTTGTGTGATCTGAAAATTCTGGCAGTGACTAGCAGTAGTCATAACTTCACTAAAACAATTTATTTTCTATGTGCAACCAGAAACACAAATTTGAGAAAGAAATTTATCTCTTCTCATCCTATAACTGATATAATTTGCTTCCTAGGCCTTTCAGATCAAATATAAATATGCAAAGCCTTTGGAGTATATTTCTTACATTGGTGTTGGATTGTCCATGGCTGGTGTGATCATTACCATTTTGTTTCAAATATTCACTAGGTAAGAGTGAAGATGTAAAACTGCAAGCATTTAATGCTAAATTACAATATTTTGCTCTTTATATATTTTGAGGAAAACAAAGGGAGTTGCCAGTTTGGAACATATTTCTCACCTAGATGAAACTTTAACCTGTTTATATTAATGTTTTAATGTGAGGATACATATATACATATATGTTTATTATTAAATAAATCCACCTTCAAAAATGTGAGCTTTGAAAAGAAATAGTACAACAGCGTACAGAAGACTCTAGTATGGTAAAAGGCCAAGCCTTTCATAGGAAACACTGGGCATGACGCTGACAAGAAAAATCTTCCCATCACTTTGACAGGGCTTTCTGTTGCCTATTTGATAGTTCCTATACTCTACTGCTTTCTGTTTTTAAACGTTTTGTAGGGAACAGATGATTTCAAAGCACAATGTAGGTTATGAGCACTGCTTGTGCTACAGTTTTATCGTGACTTAATTCAAATACAATCGCAGCAAACTTCCTTGATGGACGTGTGTCCTGGGTTCAGCTACAGCAGTCATTTTTTCTCCTTCTTAGTAGCTGGTGCAGGGCTGTGTTTTTGACTTTCAGTCTGGGAACAACGCTGATAACACCGATGTTTTTAGTTGTTGCTAAGTAATGTTTACTCTGACCAAGGACTTTCTCAGTCTCATGCTTTGCCAGAGAGGAGGGGAAGCCAGGAGGAAGCAGAGGCAGGACACCTGACCCAAACTGGCCAAAGGGCTATTCCATACCACAGCACGTCATGCCCAGTATATAAACTGGGGGGAGTTAGCCGGAAGGCCCAGATCGCTGCTCGGGTCGGGCTGGGTATCGGTCAGCAGGTGGTGAGCGGTTGTGTCCTTTTCCCTTGTTATTCCTCTTATCATTATTATTGGTAGCAGTAGTGGTTTGTATTATACCTTAGTTACTGGAGTGCTGTTACCTCAACCCGTGGGAGTTTCATTCCTTCGATTCTCCTCCCCATCCCTCCGGGACAGGGGGAGGAAGGAAGAGGGGGGGAGTGAGCGAGCGGCTGCGTGGTTCCAAGTTGCCGGCTGGGCTTAAACCACGACAATGTGCCTGTGATAAATGGTGTCATGTGATTCCCCCTTGAACGAGGAGCAAAGGGTTGCCAAGAGTTGTAGTTATTGTAGATGAATGCATGTTTCTCATTCTGTTTGCACTAATGTAGGTTTGGAGCAATTCCATCAAGGTCAATGTATTTAAGATTGTAGGAGCTTCCAGACTCTGCCGTTTAAAGGCATTTGTAAGACAGAGTTTGGAAGTAGAGGTTTATTATTCTCTTGGATCTTGAAGAGTGTTTAGAAATACTCACCCTATTTCATCTCTTAAAACTGAAGAAAAGGGTTCTAAAAAGACCAGTGTGGAAAAAAGAAAATGCATCCCAACTGCTGTTGGAAAAGCCCCAGTCCCAAAAGGTACTAGGTATTCTCTGTTTTAGCTGAAATTGGACAAAACTGATGGATTTATTAAGTTGTCTGAGAGTAATGATGGTGTAGAATCCTGCAAACAAGTTACTGCTTTCTTTTGTCTCTATATTGAAGACTACATACTCTACCTTGCTTTTAATATTGATGGAAATGAAGAAATATTTTGCAGTTTTAATGATTTTGCTCTACTTTTTTCTTCTAAATGTATTCCTACCAATAGGAAATCTCGAAAGTCATCTGTAACGTGGATGTTAGTGAGTCTCTGTTTCTCTATGCTCATTTTTAACATCATCTTCATCTCTGGAATTGAAAACCGCAATGCCAGGAATCACAGCGACAGTACCACCAGTCACTACCAGCAGTACCTTCCTTACGATACTATCAGTAACACCTTACTCACATCTGACTTGGTAGATCCTCCTGCTGACTCCTGGTGTACAGTTGTGGCTGCCCTACTGCACTATTTTTTGTTGACAACATTTATGTGGTCAGCACTCAATTCTGCACAGCTGTACTTACTGCTGCTTAGAGCCATGAAGCCCCTGCCCGAACACTTCCTTATAACCACGTCAGTAATTGGATGGGGTAAGATTTGAAGTCATATATATGGAAACTCTGAGCAAAGTATCAGTACACAGCACATTCAGGGAGAGTTGTAAAGATAGGGGATCAGGCGAGACCAATTATAATCAGCATCTCTCTGTTTTGGTGAAATGTGATTTAATAAATAATCCCCTGTTACTGCTCACACTGCCAGTATAAACTGAGCTTGTTTCCATCGCCCTCATAAGGCATTGAAACTGATAGCTTGTGCACTGGCACAGCAACACAAGCCTGTTGCATGCGGGAGAAATTTTCACAGCAATCAAGGGTTCCAACAGTCTGTTTCTGCCAACTAAGTAAAAAAATCTTTCAGATACAGTGATTGCATAGATGGATTCAAATTCTTCATTTAGATACCTCTGAGATTCCTCACGACTTCAAGCCAGAGCCTTGCATACATCCAAAAGCAAGGAGTGACTGACTAATTGGTACATATTATTTATTAATAAGCAAAGAGCACATTCTTAAGTCAGTACAGCAGTCAGCAGTGACACTGCAAGCTGAAAGGGAACTACTTGGAGGACTGAAGAATGAAGGCAGATGCCCACTAGGCAGAGTAAAAATCTCATCCTCCAAGAAACTCTTCCAATAGAGTGTACAGGAATACCTGTCTTTTCCATGTTGTGTGGTCAGCTCGTGCAGTATGTCATTTCTGATGGCACCTAACCAAGCAGTTTTAAATCCTCACTCTTTCATTATTATGTTTTGCATTTGGGTGGAGGTAGAAGCAATTCCTCTAAAATTTTTAGAATTTGGACTGCATATGCAACCCAGCAAATGCTGAGCAAAAGCTGCCTGGCTACGCATCACTGTGCTCCATTCGCATGATAGCACAGCATTAGATTCTTCACTTTGTCCTGTGACTAGCTGCGCATGTCTAAACCAGGATGATTCTGACTCACTGCTTTTCAGACCTACTTTGAGAGCACAGCAAATACTTGACAGTCTGGAAGATCTCCGCTAGGGCTGAAGAAGGAACAGGCTTTAAGAAGCACGTTTATTTCCTAGATCAAAATGAATGCGGGAAGCTCCTTCTCAAGTGACGTGCTGCTTAGTGAACACGTAGGCAGGGGACGTAGAAGACAGGAAGTGAAGCAAAGACATTAAGGAGGCAAGCCTACGCTGCCATGCTTTTTGAAGGACAAAAGTTATGCTTTGCATCAAGCTGGTATAAAATGTAGTGATGCGTGGTGCAGAATTTTCTTAAATTAAGTTTCTCATTGCTGACAAGAGGGTAGGATTGCACAGCTGTGATAAGGGAGTCAGCTACGGCACAGGAAGGAGTCTGCTCAGTCACCATTGGTGTTGTCTCTGGAAGCTCTGTTGAAGCTCTTTAACAGCAAAAATCAGCAAATCACGGATGTGAGCTGTCCTCAGAAAAACAGTGCTCACAACCCTCAGTTCTGCCTTTTTTCTAGGCTATAGAAAATCCATGTAGTTTAGTGCAAGGCAGATGAAACAGAGCTCTTAAAATCTATGGAGTTTAGGAGGCAATCAACTGAACAATAAATTGCTAATATCTCTCCTATTAATTAGGAATCCCCGCTGTAGTAGTTGCAATAACACTTGGAGCAACTTACAGAGAAGGAAAAGCTTTAAACTACCGACAGGAGGAATTGTAAGTTCATGTATTATTACAACACTTGCTCACACCTTTTGTGATGGCTCATTATTAGTACAATTCTAGATTTATTGTTGGTATACTGCTTTGTGTATCTAAGTACTTAAAAGAAAACAGAACTTTCACTGTAAGAAATTGCAGTTTCTCCTAAGGATTTAGGGAACTGGATCTGCATCTGCCTTGAATCCTCCTGCACGATCCCCTGTGACTTTAAATGGAAGCTGTAGATGTTCTTAGTCTAAGTGGTATTCAAGACCTTCACTGAAGTGCATAACTGCATTTCAGTACCTAAACTTAATCCTCCCATTTATTTAAAACCCTTCTGGCCAACTTAAGTATATCCCTATTTACCCTATGTTTTTGGTATTGATATTCATTCGAGTGCCTGCATATCAAAGTAGGCTATCAGGCTTAGTGTGCCCTGGTGATAGCAGGCGATACAGAACAAAGGTAGACTGTAAAAGAAATCTAAACACAAATGTAAACAAAAACCCCCTTTTACATGGGGGTTTTACACCCACTTTTGTTACTCATTTAGGGAGAGTTGATTTCTAATTTAAAATTATTTGGCAATAATAAAAAAAAGACATAAAGATTATTGCAGGATAACTGTCCTGAAGTTGCCCCTGGTTTTGTTTCACTCTTTCTTCTTTAGGTTTCCCCTATTACTTTGCTCTTCAGCTCTATTTTAACATGTACTTTAAGGTAAACTTGCATATCGTGGCCAGATATCTATTTGGTTAGCTAAATTGCACTATATTATATCTCTCTCTGCAGTTTCTTTTTGATAAATCATTTTGCATTCCTCAGAGAAAGAGAAACAGTTCTCAAGGAATGGTTGCCTTTGAGCCCTATGAGGTCTTTTAGGATGAAAATGGAATATTTTTTTTTTTTTTTTTTTTGTATTCTGAATAATGCATCTAACAAATCTTTCAATTCGTCTCTCTTTACGTTAAAAGTTGCTGGCTTGCAGCACTGGATCAAAATAAGAGTTTCAGTGTGAAAAAGCCCATGTTGTGGTCGTTCCTCTTGCCAGTAGCACTCATACTCCTGTTTAACATCATCACTTTCATCACTGTCAGTGTCTCTGTGATATGGAAGAAGAACAAGAATTTGACAAGGTGAGATGGCATAGGACTCCTCAGATCTTTCAGCAAATGTATTGCTCGGTCTCTTGTCACCAGCTCAGACTTTCTTATCATGAACTCAGGTTTCTGACAAAGTCTTTTGTTTTAAAGAAATGCGTACTTACAGCAGTCAGAAAATTAATTCACTTCAATTAAGGTTATCCCCAGTTTAAATCCATATAAGTGAAAGCAGAGCTGGGTCCAGCCAAATGAGAATTAAAAATTTCTCAGCACATCTGAACGTCAGACCAGTTCTTACCAGCTTTGAAGCAGATTTACTTGCCGAGTTTTACATCAACACTCCATGTCTTGTCACAGGCTGTGTCAGAAACTCTGCAGTGTACAGTGTATTACTATAAAAGGGATTGCTTTAATTTTAATCCCACAGAACTGATCTGTTCAACAAAACTTTGTACCATTTCTTCATTCTTTTTATGTATGATTTTCATGGTTGGAGCAAACAAAATACCTTATCTCTGTCTCCCCTCAGGCTTGAGAGAAACAGGATATCCAGACTTCACTGGCTCCTTATTCTTTTACTGAAAATTAAGCACATTTGGATTGAAGTTATAAGCCTTCTAAAAAGTTTATAACAGCTAACATGCTAATTTTCAATGCTTCTTGTTGACTTGGTAATCCTCACTTTTTTGTTAAAGAAAGAATCATTCAAGCTACATACTCAAAACACAAATTATTCTGATAAACTTGGTTAGATTACTTTTTCTGGATTTCTTCTCTGGATGATAGGTCAAACAAATATAGAGAGGTGTTTGTTCCCAACTCACCTGAATAACACATCTTTGCAATGTAACTCTAAATAAATAGAAAATTTAACACTTAAAAGGATATTAAATAGTATACAGAAAGGTCTAATAACTTTTTAATGTGTGTTTCTAGGAATAAAAAGGATTCATTTATGAAAAAGATGATTGGCACTATCTCTATAGTGGTAGTGCTTGGAATCACCTGGACGATAGGCTACCTCATGTTAATAAGTCATGAAGAAACAAGCCTGTTTTTCAGCTATCTGTTCTGTGTTTTGAATGCTACCCAGGTAAAGTATTTAGTAATTCTGAGACTAAAAATCGAGATCATGAAAAAAAACCCGAGTCAGATCTAGTTGTTCTGTAGGCTGGGAGGTTAATACAGCCTGGGAACTTGTTGGAAACCAGTTACAGGGATTCAGAATTTTTGTTCAGAAAGGGATGCTATCCTTCTGCTCTGTCACTCATAAAATTCTTCCCGTTGTATAAATCAATGTGGGATTTTATTTCAAGGATACCTCTGAAAAGACCTTCCCGTCTGAGTGGCATCTCTTCTATCAGATCATAGATTAAATCATTCGGAATGAATATCAGGAAAAAACTTCTGTATCAGCTGTAAGAAAGACTCCCAGGAAAGTAACTAGAACTTCATTGCTTGAGACCTTTCACGATGGTCCTGGATAAAAGCCTACAGGAATGCACCTGCCTCTGCCCACAGCCCTGCTGCATTCTTGGCTTTATAGTCATACAGGGCATATGAAGTATGAAGTACATGGATCAATGGATCCTCCATTATTACACCACTGAATATATTCTACAAAATAGTTAATTGGAAACGTGAAAATCCCCCAATACCCAAACATTAAGTTGTTTATTACCAGTTTGAACTACTGAAAACTGAGGGCCTGTACACCAGTGGGGATCAGATCTGCAAACTCTCTGTGCAAGAAGTCCTGAAGTGGTTATTACTATACTGATGGATGGATTACACCCACCCCGATCATGATTCCTCTGTTCCTGGAATCATGATCAGGGAACAGAGATCCTTTTATTTAGAGTTGTGGGTTTGTTTTGGTGGTTTTTTTTGTTTGTTTGTTTGTTTGTTTTTAACCCAGGATACTCCTGATTAGTCCTTGAAATGAGAATTTAGAAGAATAGAATAGGCATGGAAATTTTGAAGTCCTGCTTCTATCTATGTGTCTGACTGAAGTGTTGAAAGGGCACACAAGCCACATGTAATGCTTATGGTATGCTCAAGTAGGTCTTACCTTCATCCTACCCAGCAGGGGGTAATAACATGATCCTGAGACATAGCTAATCCATTACAGTGTGCAAATGAGGTGACTATAGTTACAAATCCATAGTTACATGGAATATCTTTACTATTCAAAGTACTTCTTGTATTTCAAGGTATTAATGTCATTGTTCATGGTTACTGAAAATCGTTTCATGGTTGCTTTTCAAGACAAATAATACTGACTAATCGTTTCTGGGTTTAGAAGGAAAATATTAACTCCACATTTTAATTTACTCTACAGGGACTTCAGATCTGTATTCTGTACACTTTCAGATCACCAGTCTTCAAGAACAAAGTTTCCAAGGTGTTTGCTGTTATTTGGGTGCCAAGGGTATCTTTGTATCTGCATTCAAAAACTTACTATGTTTCAAAAACACAGCCTGCAAAACGCTCACAGGAAACTTTCAGATCAACACAGACTTTATCAGAGAATACTTCCTTGTCTACTGTCCCTAACTGAAGTTAGGAACCTGTAAATAAGTGAAACATAATCCTGCATTTTTCATGGTTTGCTTTATGTAGATCTCACAGATATCTTGAATGACATTATACTACTCCAACTGCAGGTAGCTTGAAATAGATCATAAGGCCAGACCACCAGGAGTCAAAAGCAGGACCACACACTAGCAAGACAGTGTGATAGTTATGCCGCAGTGCAGTGCTAGATTGTCTGGCTTCTACTCGTACTGCATGTCACTGCGGAAGGTCTTTGAAACAAGCTGAGGTTATTACAGTTTTATATTACAGCACAGATGTAAAGAAATCATGCTATTTATGCCCTTCTCATTTTTCAGGCCTGTTGAACATGTTTATCTAGCCTATGCACTGTAGCTCTCCTCTCCCTTTTGTAAGAACAGTTTTGTTTTAATTTAATTAGAAATCAAAAGATAAACAAGGAAAGAGCACAGTTCTGACTGGCTCTGGGTCCAAACTCTACTACCTCAATAATACGTTGGCTTGGTCTTCCCAGAAGAAAATCTGATTCTTACAGTGGTTTTCTCCATTTCTTAGCTAAAACATCTTTATTATAAATTGTAACTAGACAAAATATTCTGTTTTCATATAACGAAGTGGGGGTGGGAGTGGGGGTGGGGGGGAAAGCGAGATGCTTGAAAAAACAGGCTAGGAAAGAAGTTCTTTGTAAGTATGAAACGTAAGTCCTATCAGATCACCCCCAGTATTAGCCTGTGATAGGAAGCATGTTTGCTTTTGGAGGCGGATTGGTGTTACCAGAATAGCAGCTGAAAGTGCTTGTTAGCTCCCTGCTCTGAACGGACTTTGGGCTGCATCTTTCTCTCTGTCTCTATGTTCTTTGGCATTATGGGGACCTTGGAAGAGACGTCTCTTGACCTACACATCGAGTTTGGTTTCTAAACTTAAGCTATAACTAAAAATAATCCTCTCCCTTTTCCACTCACCTTTTATTGATACTATTCAGTACAAAAAGGTTGAAAGCAAAGTCGAGGAGAAGAGAGCTGAGTTTCTGGATGTTGAAGTGAGGAGCAAGGGAAGGAAGTGTATGGTGGCTTGAGCACAACCAGTGCATGAAGTGCAAGCAGCTCCTCCCACTTGGTGACTGAGCAAAGTGGTAAGGCCCACTGCAGTGGGTTCTTGTCTAACAAATGGGAATACTTATGCTGACTCATCCCATTCTCTCCTGTGTGAGAAAAACACCTGAGATACTTAGACAAGTAATTTTTAAAAAACTTATTTCTTTATTCTGTCCTCTCATATTTGTATGTTTTGCTATGTCTGATTTTAATAATAAAATAAGACAGTGTTGAATTTTAAATAATCTGGTTTAAGAAGTGTGGTCAGATTTACCTCCTGCTTCTATTTTTTTCTGAAAATGAATGTGGTGTGCTTTGAAAACTTCCAAGCTACTCCAAATAAAATCATGGCATGAGCAAATGCAGTGGCTGAGCATTTAGCACCTCTGAATACACTGGGCACCTTACATAAAACTTTCTGAATATCTCCAGAGAAGTGTTTCAGCTATCCTGAAAAGTTCTCTACACCTTAAAAATCCACGTTCTCCTTATGAAGCAGAAATTAAGTGTTCTCTAGCATTGATAAGACTCCAAAAAGCGCGCTCACATCAGATGCAAGGCTGAAGCTCATCACCACTGACCCAGAAAAGGCGAAGAAGCTAATTAAAAGTTATCCAGGAAAGGTAACTCATACTACTTTTTACATCCTGTATGTATTACAGATGTTAATAAAATGCTGTTATAGCCAACACTGCGAATGTCTCACCTAACATGAAACATTTTCAGCATAAAAAATCCCACAAAATAAAATACATTTTATGGCTTTAAGTCCAGGGAATCCTGATTTCAAAAATGGGACAAAGGAATACGATCTTTTTCACGATATATGCTTAACTGTTACAGGAACAATAGTTCAGCTCTTATCTACACGTGAAATATATTGAACCTAATAATTTAGCGAACTTTGGTATTCTTTGTGATGTGTAGGCTTTAAGGATCGTTAAGTTTCTTCTTGTTAACACTTTGGAAACACTGCTTTGATAAACAAATGGACCAGAGAAGGGCTGAATCATTAGTACAAAGGTCAAAATACGAGCGGCAGAGACTGTAATGGATGGAAAAGTCCTGTTTTCCAGGTTGCTTTCCTGTATTTTTAAAAGCAAGGAGACAAGATTTTTTTTGGTTCTTTTTCAATTGAAAATGCCCGTATTATCAACTCCTGAACCACAACCCTCCTCCTCATCTTTAATAGAGAAAACTCAGATAACCAGTTTCAGATTCATGTTTTACTCCCTTAGGTGGACAAGCTCCTAATGCAAGGTGGGGGGCCGAGGGGGACAGCAGTGAGTGCCTGGAAGGACAGTCTATCAGGGCAACCTCTAATCGGGGACGGACACACTCTCACTGTGATTCTGGCGAGCACGCTGGAACTTCATGTCGGATCTCCCATCCCCGCACCGCCACCCTCTGCGGGCACAAGCCCGCATTTCGAAACAAACGCCCAGTCACAGAGAGGCTTCTCCCCAGAGCCCGGCTCACACGCACCGTCCCTCCCGCGCTGCCAGGGGCGGGCGCTCGTCCTGGG